TGAAGATGTAGCTCCTCCAGGATTTCATTTGGGTACCAAGGCCTCAGCCCTGGCCCCTAGGTAGCTACTTAAACCCAAGACCCCTGGATACCAAGATTTGCAGCATCCCTGGAATAGATGAAACATTGGCACTTGTGTACTGTAGATTTGTTTTCCACTGGCTTTGGTCTTGGGACCTTAATTTCCTCTGCCCAGCTCTATATTTAAAAGGATGGTTCTTATATTTTTCTGGTATTTCTAGGTGGTTTAGAGCAAGAAAGTTTTTAGATTATCCAGTCCACCATATTGCTAGACATGGAAGCAGAGTAGTAGCTCCTGGGTTTGAATCCCAGCTAATGGTAGTGGGCAAGTCACTTCTTTTTGAGCTTCAGTTTTCCTGTGTGAAGATGGGGATGATGATAGGACCTCCTTATCAGGCTGTCATGAGGATTAAATAAATTTACATATGTGAAGCACTTTGTACCATGCCTAGCACATAGCTCCCCATTTCTTTGTCAGGTTTCCCCAAAACCTGTTCAAATTGGGGTAAGCTAAAAACAGGGAAGGTATTGGCTCCCATAACTTAAAGTTTAGGCATGGCTAGATCTAGAGGCTCAGAGGATGTCCTCAGGACGTTCTTTCTCCATTTCTTTTTGCCTCCTGCATATTGGCTTCTCCCTCCCACAGGCTCTCCTCTGGGCATGGTAGAGATGGCCAGCAGCTCTGGCAGCTCCAGGCCTGCACCCCACCAGTTTAGTACCCTAGCAGGAAAAGGCATTCCTTGTTTCCAGTAGCTTCAGCAGTAAATTCAGGGTTGTATCTCTTCATGAGTGAATCCTACAGGCTGGGTAGATTGATGATTATGACTGTGCTGACCTGCTCTTGCACCCTGCTCTGGAGTTGGGCGGTAGCATTGACCTCACTGAAACCACGTGATCTGTAAATGGGAGTAGAGTGGTGGTGTTTCCCCAGAGGAGAGGAGGGATGATGATCCTGGGTGGGACAGAAAGAGCAACTGCCCACCATCTGTCCTCTGTCTCCTGTCCCCCAGTGTTCCCCAGTCAGCTCCAGGTACACATGGTACTACAGCTCTGCCCTGTGCTTGGGGATCACACATACTCTGCCCGTGTGGGCACTGTCCTGGGCCAGCGCTTTCTACTGCCAGCTGAGAGCACCAAGCCCCAAAGACAGGTACCCACACCCACCTACCTACTGTTTCGGGGGGTGGGCTGTGGGGTGAGGGTGGGCAGCACCTTCAGACATTAGCTATGAAGTCTGGGACTGAGTGGCAGCCCTCTTGGCTTCCAGACCTATCTATAGCCCTGTCTTACTGTGTGCCTTGAGCAAGTAACATCCCCTCTCTTAGGCCTCGTTCTGCCCATCTGTTCAATAAGGGACTTGAACCGGCTGATTTCTCAAGGCCCTTTTAAGTCCGTTGTTCTTTAGGTCCCTGGTGTAAGGACTAAACAATTGTGTGTGGGTTATGGTTACTCTATGTGCTCTAACAGAGTTACCCCAAAGTCCCAGAGTTTAACACAACAATTTCCCTCCCATTAAATCTAATGAATGGGGGTGGGGTAAGGGTGGACTTTACTCCAAGGTCACTCAGGGACCCAGGCATTGCCATGCAGCCAGCAGATGAAGGGAGACAGTACAGTGCAGGTCCGTGTGAGAGGTTTTCTTGAGTCAGGTCTGGCAGTGGCTTTTACTTGGACTCCTGTTCCATTGGCTAAAACTATCATGTGGCATACAGTTAATAAAACTGCAAGAGGGACTCGAAAATGTTTAGCTGTGTGCCAGGTGGGAACTGATTTGGTGAACCCTAGCCAGTCTCTGCCATAGTGTGGTGGTATATGTGAGTGTTTGTGTAGAGAAGATATGAATAAGAAACTATGGACAGGGAGGGAGCAGGGGAGGGAAGACCTGCCTTACTTCCATTTTTGGTTAGAGCTGGTTGGAACTCAACCTGGCAGAATGCTGACATGCCTCTCCCACCTCAGGTCCTAGACGAAGCCCTCCTCAGACGCCTCTGCCTGACCCCGGCCCAGGCTGCCCAACTGCCCTTGCATCTCCACCTGCACTGTCTCCATCTTCCAGGCATGAGGCCCAAGGAGGCCCCCATGAAGCTTCTGGCACCCCTACCCCCTTATTTCTCCAGGACCCTACAGTGCCTGGGGCTCCGCCAACAATAGTTCTCCTTCTGTTCCTTCTGTTTCCACTGGCAAACAGTGGGGATGGAGGTGAGGGGAGAGGAGGATGAACCTACGATCAGGCCTGAGGAGAATGACGTCAGTGCTCAACATGCACTAAGGCCATGCTTTAAGATCCTGGGCTCTGCATTCGGACAAACCTAAGATCAGAGCCTGGCTAGGCCACTTGCTGTATGGTGTTAGGCAGATGACTTCACCTCTCTGCTGAGTTAATAAAAGTACCTGCCTCATAGTATGGTTTTGAAGATTTGCTGAGAAAGTAAACGTTTATCATGGAGCATACTTTCTGCTGAGTTCAGTATGCAACTTTATTTGGCTGTTTCTGTCCCAGTTCTAGCTGAGAGGAGATATCTAACTTTTTTGTCACTTAATTGTGCTATAATACACATAACAAAATTTACCATCTTAACCATTTTTTTAAACATTTTTTAAAAGATTATTTATTGGGGCACCTGGGTGGCTCAGTGGGTTAAGCTGCTGCCTTCGGCTCGGGTCATGATCCCATAGTCCTGGGATCGAGCCCCGCATCAGGCTCTCTGCTCAGCGGGGAGCCTGCTTCCCTCTCTCTATCTCTCTGCCTGCCTCTCTGCCAACTTGTGATCTCTCTGTGTCAAATAAATAAAATCTTAAAAAAAAAAAAAAAGATTATTTATTTATTTATTTGACAGACAGATCACAAGTAGGCAGAGAGGCAGGCAGAGAGAGAGGGGGAAGCAGGCTCCCTGCTGAGCAGAGAGCCTGATGTGAGACTCAATCCCAGGACCCCAGGACCCTGGGATCATGATCTGAGCCGAAGGCAGAGGCTTAACCCACTGAGCCACCCAGGCGCCCCAACCATCTTAACCATTTTTAAGTGAGCAGTTCAGTGGCATTAAGTATGTTCACATTGTAGTGCAACTGTCACATCCCATCAGCCTGCAGAACTGAAACTCTGCCCCACTAAACACTGACACCCCATCCCGTCCTCCCACCTCCCAGTAGCCCCATTCTCCTCTGTGTCTATGAATCTGATTACTCCAGGGACTTCATATAAGTCAAGATCTTAGACCTTTTACTTGAAAAAATTGTTAAATATATCAAACATACGAAGAGTACATAAATAGCTCTGTGATTTAAAGAATAATTACAAGGCGACTCCCATATAAACACCACTTGGCATGAAATAGAAACATACCTCTCCTTCCCTGTTAGGGTAGCAGTTCTCAACCCTGGCCCCACATTAGAACCCCCTCAGTGAAACTTTTAAAAAGCCCCTTCCTTCCCTGGGATTCTGCACCCTAAAGATACCAATTTAGTCAGTCTGGGCTGGAGATCCTGGCATCAATCTTTTTTGAAGCTCCCGAAGGGGTTCTACTGTTCAGTCTAGGTTGGAAACCCCTCCCCTGACATGGGAGCTTTCCTTGTTTGTCTTAAGTTTTTCCACCAAATATGCATCTGTGTTGTGTGCTGTGGGTTTGAATTCCAGTGCATGACTCTCCCAGTTGATCCATTCTACTGTTAACATCATCATTCAGCTCTTAGCACAACACTGGTGTGAAGCTTCTTGTGTGCATTTCCTGGTTCAGTTACGTCAGAGATGCTGGCAGAGTATATGTATCTTCACTTGACTAGAGTATTAGTTTCCTAGGACTGCTGTAACAAAATTACCACAACCTGAGTGTCTTAAGATAACAGAAACTGATTTTCTCAGAGATCTATCTGGAGGCCAGAAGTCTGAGATGAAGGTGTCAACAGGGCTGTGCTCTCTGAAGTTTCTAGGGATGAATCCTTGCCTCTTCCAGCTCCTGGCAGCTGCAAGCCTTGACTTATGGCCACATCACATCAGTCTGCCCTCATCTTCACATGGTCTTCTCATGTTTGCGTCTTCTAAGGACACTTGTCATTGCATTTAGGGCTCACCTGGATAATCCAGAGTACTCTCATCTCAAGATCCTTAACTTAATCACATCTATGAAGACCATTTTTCCAAATGAACTTATTCACAGGTTCCAGGCAGATATATCTTTTGGGGGAAGGGAGGCTAACTAACATTCAACTCACTACAACTAAGAAATACCAAAGTTTTTCAGATGGGTGTGGCTGGTCGGATATTTCCTTTCCAGGACACCATGGGCCCTTGCTGAGGGAGGGACAGACCAACTTGCTCTGGAGAAGGGCTGGTGTTTAGGCGAGGTCCATCCTTCCCCCATCTCGTGGTGTAAATCTGACACCTGTTAGATGTCACTCTGCTGCTGGGCCAGGTTCTCCCCTGGACTTGGGCCTTGGGGATCTCCCAGTGGTGAGCAGTCTGGCAATACGTCCTAGCCTTCTCACTGCCACATGATCTTGGGCAAGCCATGTCTCCTCGTTCAGACTCCATTTTTTCATCTACAAAGTGAGGCTTATCCCGCAATCCAAGATCAGAGATGCCAGAGACACACTGCATAGGAAACCCCATGCCTGTCGCTATGGGGTGGAATTCTGGCCCTTTTCTTTGTGGAAGGGTGTTTGACAGCCTCTAGCTCTCACTCTGGATGTTGGGGCACAGGGCCCCAGCCTACTCTCTCTTCACCATCCAACAGAAATGGAGCCAAGCCCAGGAAACTTCACTTGCTCCTTTTTATTTGGCGCTGCATCCAGGACAGGGGCAGTGAGGACCAAAGCAAGGGCTTCTCTGGCCTCAAGTCCCCCATGCCCCCTAGCTCCTGGTATGCTTTGATAAAGGGCAGGGGTCCTGGAAGGCTCAGTGTCTTCATGAGGCATGCCTCAGCCTTGGGTTTGTCACAGAGTCTGGTCTTGAACTTGCCTTTGGCTTTGATCTTCCTGTGGGTGCTAGGAAGATTTCCAACTTCAAAAGGTAGAGGCCACAAGGCACTTCCAGGATGGGGACCACGAAGGTGCTGGGAAGCAACAGCCTCGGTGTGAAAGGGGGGAAGAGGTGGAAGAGATGATCAAGAAATCTGTTCAGGAAGGGGGTTCTGAGGAAAAAAAGCCCTTCCCTTCTGGTTCCAGCCAGCCTGAGACCTGCCCTTGCCTATGCCCTCCAGCCCTGACCCTAGAGCCCTGTATTCAGCACTGCCCACCAGGGTGCAAGTCACAGCTCAAGGCCCACCTTTCTTGGTTTCAGGACGCTGGATGCCAACTTGAGCTCAGAGTTAGGTGGGAAGGAAATCAAAACCTTGGCAGTAGGTAGAGTCATCAAGGCCTTGCCTGTGGTTGACAGGGCCTTAGAGCCCACCAGCTTGCTGTGTTGCAGTCTGAGGACTCGCCCCTGGGATCGGAGCACATGGGGAGAAGGCAGCCGGGCCTTGGTGTGGACGCCGGGGAAGTGGGAAGGGGCTGTGGGAGCAAAGGGGCCATGAGGGCCTGGGGAAGGTCCAAGGCCCGACAAGCTGCCCCTCAAGGAGAGCATGAAGGGTGGGGAAGTGGGGGAAGAGGAAGGCTTGGGGTTTGAGATGACAGATGGAGCCCTCCCAGTTCCTCCTCCAGAGGCTGTGGGAAGAACACAGGATTTGGAGTCCAACAGACCTGGGTCTGCATCCCAGCTCTGCCCCTTCTGAGATGTGCAACCTCGGGCAACTTCCTTAAACTTCCTGATACCTCGGCTGGAAAATGGGGATAATAGCACCTACCTTGCTAGGTTGTGAGGACTAAAGGAGCTGGTTAGGTAGCAGCACAGTGCAAACTGTTAAATGCTGTACAGTTATTAGCCCCTTTCCCCCAGAGGCAACTCTGCATGGAGGCAAAGGCAGAATACTGCAGCAGGCAAAGCTTGGGCTCTGGAGAGAGATGGACCTGGGATTGAGTCCTGGCATTTGAAATAAGTCCAGCTGCCTTGCAGGGTGGCTACTTTGGGAGAGAACAATACTCATTTGGTCATGCATTTTAAAAAAAAATACTTTGGAAGTGGTGGCTTTTCCTTGCTACTGGTGTCTTCTTGGTGGGGCAATGGTGGGGTTGCAAATCCAGGTGGTTAGGAGGGGGGGCGTGAAGAGCAGGAAGAAATTGCCTTGGAACCCCAGGGTGTTTTGTGGGAATGATCTTACCCAGGGCCTGGGGGTTCTTCGGACTCAATGGCAATCTGCTCAAGGGGTGGGGTTGCCTGTCCCCACTAGCAAAGGTCATGGTGAAAATGCAGCCCATCCTGGTGCTGGGGGGCTCCCACTTCTGGAGGTTGGGGTAGACCAGGGCTGTGGCACTTTTCGCCTTGCCTTTCTTCCCTTTTCCGGGGGCCGAGGTGGTGGCAGTGAAGGTTGGCTTCTCAGTGTGCCCCAGGCTCCTGGCCCCAGCAACTTTCCTAGGAGCTGACCTGTGGGTAAGGGTCCCCGAGTCCTTGCCTTCCCCAGAGCCTCTCTGGGTCAGCAGGTGAGGGAGTGCTGGGCGGACCCCCATCCGCCGGTGACACATTGCCAGGGGCTTCTTGATGGTGGAGCCCTCTACTAGGAGCCGGATACCCACATACTGGGGTACCTCCACGGCAGGCTGTGGAAAAGAAGAGGAGATGAGGCCTGTTCAGACAGTGATGCTGGAATCCTAGGTCCAGAAGGAATCAGGACAGAGATGGATGGAATTAATCTCTGGGCTAAGAAACAGGAAGCCCACCTTTGTCCTCTAAGGAGTCTGGCTCCAGAGGCCTGAATCAATACCTAGAAAGTCACAGAGTCCCTGGGATTAGTAACCCAGTGGAGTCAGAGAGCCTTAGCCATGCTACCACCAGCACCCCCTACCCTTTACCCTTCCCTAAGTTCTCCCAGCCCCTGCTGAAATGTGTGTGGCTCTGCTCCACAAGCCACTGCTGACAGCCAGCTTCCTGAGTTAAGCCAGAGTCTCTGCAGACGGAATTTGAGTTATGTCACCCAGATAGATAAGAGGCTTGGAGCCTGTCTGGAGCCCAGCATGAACCCATTATGGGGAAGCAGAAATTAAGAGCTTTAATGAAAGCATTCTACTAAGAGACTGAAGTAGCAAATTTGCAGAAGGAGGCAGAGAAAAAGGTCCAAGAGAGGAGCTCCTGTACAATTTTCAGTTCCTATTAAGCCAGCTGTATATCCTGTAGCTAGGCTTCAGGAAAGCCCCCTGTGTCTTGCTAACGACCCCCCCTTTAACCTTGAGCTACTCTGAGGTATTTTCTGTGTCAGTAGAGGAACCTGATTAGAATCTAAACATCAGAATCACTTGGATCTTGTTAAAAATAACCAAGCCCACAAAACCCAACTGATCAAAGAGGCACGAATCAAAACTGGGTATCAAAACAAGTTGGTGAAAAGGATGACAGGAAAATGTGTCATGTGCACACAGCCTTGGCATCACTTTACAGAGTAAGTGATCATTGCCAGAGGGAGGAGCCAAGTGACAGTGGAGAGATCTGGTAGCTACTGCCCTACCCCCGTAGTCAGACTTAGCATCACTAATCAGGAGACAGTCCAACAGTGTGTGCCTTGTGGTACCATATAAGGCACTCAGCATCACCTCTCAAGTGTTCTTGCCAAAAATGTTTAACCTGAACCACCAAGCTGTTTGGCCTAACTTCTAGTTTACAGGACATTGAGATAACAGAAGAACAAGCTAAACAGCACCACGAAGAAACAATCAGATAAATCCAAAATGTGGGACAGTTCTACAAAACAACCAGCCTGGTCCCTTCAAAAGTTCCAAACAAACTATGGGGGAAGAAAAAGCAGTGCCGCTGCTCTAGATTAAAAGAAATTAAAGAGCACCCAAAGTAATAAAACCTGTGACAAATGGAATCAAGGAAGTGAAAGATCTGTACATTGGAAACTAAGATACCAGTGAAAAAAACTAAAGACACAAATAAATGGAAAGATATTCTGTGCTCATGGATTGGAAGAATTAATGTTATTAAAATGTCCACATGACCCAAAGCAATCTACAGATTCAATGCAATCTCTATCAAAATTCCAATGGCATTTTTCACAAAAATAGAAAAAATAATCCTAAATCCTGTATGGAACCACGAAAGACCCTGCACAGTCCAAACAATCTTTTTTTTTTTTTTTAAGATTTTTAAGTCATCTTTACACCCAACATGGGGCTCAAAATCATGACCCTGAGATTAAGAGTCAGATACTCCACCAACTGAGCCAGCCAGGAGCCCCCAAATACAATTTTGAGAAAGGAGAACAAAGCTGGAAGCATCACACTTACTGACTTCAAACTGTATTACAAAGCTGTAGCAATCAAACAGTGTGGTACTGGCATAAAAGCAGACACCTAGATCAAATAAACAGAATATAGAACTGCCCAGAAATAAAGTCACACATACAAGGTGAATTAATTTATGACAAAGGAGATACAAGAAGTATCTCCTTCAGTCTCTTCAATAAATGGTACTGGGAAAACTAGAAGCCACATGCAAAAGAACGAACCCAGACCACAATTTATAACACACATAAAAACCAACTCAAAATAGATTAAAGTGAATTTAAGACCTGAAACCATAAAACCCTTAGAAGAAAACACTGGCAGTACTAAGCTCCTTGCCATCAATCTTGGCAATGATTTTTTTGGATTTGATACCAAAAGTAAAAGCAACAAAAGCAAAAATAAAAACATGGGACTACATCTAACTAAAAAGCTTCTGCACAACAAAGGAAACCATCAACAAAGTGAAAAGGCAACTCACCAAATGGGAGAACGTATTTGCAAATCATATATCTGATAAGGGGCTAATATCTAAAATATATAAAGAACTCCTACAAGTCAATGGCAAAAACACAAGTAATCTGATTTAAAAATGGGCAGAGGATCTGAACAGACATTTTTCCAAAGATGACAGACAGATGGCCAACAGGCACATGAAAAGGTGCTCAATGTCACACTAATCTTGGGGGAACTCCAAGTCAAAACCATATGGGATATCACCTCACACGTGTAAAATGGCTATTTTCAAAAAGGTAAGAAACAAGTGTTGGTAAGGATGTGAAGAAAAGGGAACCCTTGTGAACTGTTAGTAAGAACTGGTGCAGCCACTGTGGAAAATAGCATGGAGCTTCCTCAAAAAATTAAAAATAGAATTATCATATGATCCAGCAATTCCACTTCTGAGTATTTATCTGAAGGAAAAAAAAGTATTCCTATCTTGTGTATCTGTACCCCATGTGCATGGCAGCATTATTAACAACAGCCAAGACAAGGAAGCAACATAAGCGTCCATCAGTGGATGAATGAATAAAGAAAATGTGACTATCTGTTTAGCTAGCTAGCTAACTAGCTATCATGGAATATTATTTAGACATAAAAAAGAAGGAAATCTTGCCATTTGTGATAAAATGGTTGGGCTTTGAGAGTATCACACTAAGTGAAATAAGTCAGAAAGACAAGTATTTCATGATGTAAATTATATGTGAAATCTAAAATAAAAATAAAAACAAAAACAAAACCTAAAACTCTTAACTCATAGAGAGCTGATTAGCAGTTGCCAGAGGCAGTGGTGAAATGGATGAAGGGGGTCAAAAGGTACAAACATCCAGTTATAAAATAAGCAAATCATGGGGGCGCCTGGGTGGCTCAGTCAGTTATGTGGCCAACTCTTGATTTCAGCTCAGGTCATGAACCCAGGGTTATGAGATCGAGACCCTTCTCAGGGTATGGAACCTGCTTAAGATTCTATCTCTCCCTCTCCCTCTAGCCCTTCCCTACCCTGCTCTCTCCCCCTCTCTTAAAAAAGAAAAAAAAAGTAAATCATGGATGTCATGTACAGCATGGTAACTACAGTTGATACTGTATTGCATATTTGAAAGTTGCTAAGAAAGTAGATCTTAAAAGTTTTCATCAGAAGAAAATAAAATTATAATTATGTGTGGTAATGGATGTTAACTAGACTTATCATGGTAATCACTTCATAACATATTTAAATATCAAATATAGGGGCACCTGGATGGCTCAGTGGGTTAAAGCCTCTGCCTTCGGCTCAGGTCATGATCTCAGGGTCCTGGGATTGAGCCCCGTGTCAGGCTCTCTGCTCAGCAGGGAGCCTGCTTCCTCCTTTCTCTCTGCCTGCCTCTCTGCCTACTTGTGATTTCTGTCTGTCAAATAAATAAATAAAAATAAGTATCAAATATATACATATACAGATATTGTATACTTTAAGTAAATATAATACTTACAAGTCAATTATGTCTCAATAAGAGAGATCTAAGACTGATCTAAGTCCCTTAAAGCAGCTACAGATCTTTTAAGCATCCTGAGATATACCTATAGGTCTTATGTTTAAATCTTCAAGACATTTTAAGTTAACAGAGAGGGTTATAGGCACTCTCTGTTAACAGCAGGGCTTCATAATTATGAGGACTATTGTCCTACAGCAGGGTCACAGAGAGAAGAGTTCTAAGGTTTGTGAATATGGCTATTGTGTAATAGAACAGATTATAAATCGATACATAAGAAACCCACGATGTTTTTTAAAAAAATATCCACTTGGGCTAAAAGGGACAGATACAATATGAAATGAAAGAGGCTTCTGTACCCCCAAATTTCTATGAGCATGTAACAGACTAAGAACTATTGTGGATGTTCATGGAAAAGGAAGGATGATTCAGGGCTGAACTGAGATCCCAATGGATGGAACCAAGAGCCACAGAGAACTCCTAGGAAGTAATAGTGGCTTCTAATCACTAAACTGGAAATATGTGCGAGGCTAGATTTCAGAGTTGCTATGGCCCTATGCTTCCTGTGTACCTCCTACCCTGCCTCTCCTTTTTGAGTGGGGTTATCTATAAAAGTAAAAAAAGTAAGACAAATTAAGACAAAAACAACCAATGTCAAGTGTATATCTTGATTACATGTTTGTTTAAAAAACAAAAACAGGGGTGCCTGGGGGGTGGTCTGTCTGTTGAGTGTCTGACTCTTGATTTGGGCTTGGGTTGTGGTCTTGGAGTCATGGGATTGAGCTCTGCATCGGCTCCATACTCAGTGCAGGGTCTGCTTGAGAATCTCTCTCTCTTTCTCCCTCTGCTCTTCCCCCCTGCTCATGCTCTCTCTAAAATAATTAAATAAAATCTTAAAAGGATAATAAAAAACAAAAACAAATAAGCAATAAAAGATTTTTGGGACAACTAGGACATCTGAAAAATGCAGATGTGTAGTCCCTAAACCAAACATTTCAGATCAATCTCTGGGGGCGTGGCTTCCTGACACCTGTATCTTTGGAAAGCTTGCCAGGCGATTCTGGCCTGTGAACCAGCATTTGGGAACCACTGTGCTAGAACATTCCTTTCCCCTTGGTTTTGTCTTACTTTCCTGCCCTTATATTTCCTTCACTTATTTTTTTTATAGATTTATTTGACAGAGAAGAGAGAGAAAGAGCAAGTGTGCACAGAAGACAAAGCAGCAGGCAGGGAGAGAGGGAGAAGCAGGCTCCCTGCTCATCGGAGAGCCCTGTGTGGGGCTTGATCCCAGGATCCTGAGATCCTGACCTGAGCTGAACACATGTCCTTAACTGAGTGAGTCACCCAGGAGCGCCAAGTTTTTTGCTTTTTAAGATTTTATTTATTTATTTGTCAGAGAGAGAGCGAGAGCACGCATAAGCAGGGGGGAGCAGCAGGCAGAGGGAGAAGCAGGCTCCCCACTGAGCAGGGAGCCCTATGTGGAACTCTACCCCAGGACCCTGGGATCATGACCTGAGCAGAAGGCAGATGCTTAAAAACTGAGCCACTTCACTTATGTTTTTTGAAAACAAAGTGCCAGTATTAATTATGATCAGTAACAGTGACAAGACCAGGACACTTGGGTCATGTGATCAGCACGTTCTCTACCTGTGGCCAAACTTTGGTAGAAGCTGAATACCGGTCAGAATGATACCTAGGATTACGATACTTAACTGTCAAGAGACTACTTGCAGAGTTCAGAAACCCTTGAAATTGGTTTTCTGACTTTTAAAAATCTTATTCCATTCCAATAAGTAGACTCAAATCTCTTTTTGGAACAAGTAGAGTAAAATTATTACAAAGGAGTAAAATAATAATAATATTAACAGCAGCAGCAGCAGCAGCTTCCACTGACTCTTACCCCACATCCAGACCTTATATGTGATGCCATTGTGAAACACTGAACAATCTTTTTTTTTTTTAAGATTTTTTATTTATTTATTTGACAGAGAGAGAGAGATCACAAGTAGACAGAGAGGCAGGCAGAGAGAGAGAGAGAGAGAGAGGGAAGCAGGTTCCCCGCTGAGCAGAGAGCCCGACACGGAACTCGATCCCAGGACCCGGAGATCATGACCTGAGCCGAAGGCAGCGGCTTAACCTACTGAGCCACCCAGGCGCCCCAACACCGAACAATCTTATTAGGTAGTAACAGTAGCTAAAATCTGTGCACTGACTATGTTCTAGCATTGTTCTAAAGGGCTTTACTTATGTCAACTCATTTAATTATCACAACTTTATGAAGTAGGGACTATTTGCAGTCTTACTTTACAGATGAGGAGACTGAGTGCCACAGGGGTCAGGAAACTGTCCAAAGCCAAACAGCTCATAGTTACTGAGTAGCAATTTGAACCCAGGGAGGTTTTGCTTTTAACACTTTGCTATATGCCTCTCCAGAAATATGATTCACGTGTATATTTTTGTTGTTGTTAGTGTTACAATTAATTTTCTTAAATACCAGCATAGTTAACATACTGTGTTACATCAGTTTCAGGTATTCGATATAGCAATATAGCGATTCAGCGCTTCCATGCATCACCCCGTGCTCACCACAACACATGCCCTCCTTAATCCCCATCACCTGTTTTACCCATCCACCACCTGCCTCCCCTCCCTAACCAACAGTTTGTTCTCCATAGTTAAGCATTGGTTTTGGGTTTATTTTTTTTTCTCCCCTTTGTTTTTGTTTCTTAAATTCCACATGTGAGTGAAATCATATGGTATTTGCCTTTCTCTTACAGGCTTATTTTACTTAGCATTATACTCTCTAGCTCCATCCATGTTGTTGTAAAATGGCAAGATTTCATCTTTATGGCTGAATAATGTTTCACTGTATATACCACACTTTCTTTAACTATCGATGGACACTTAGGCTATATCCATAATTTGGCCATTGTAAATAATGCTGCAGTGAACAGAGGGAGCATATTTATCCCTTCAAATTAGTGTTTTTGTCTTCTTTGGGTAAATACCCAGTAGTGCAATAACTGGATTGTAGGGATGATCCACACATATTAACTCTTCATTCTCCCAAACCCTATGAGAAAGATGGTAATGGCATCTCCATTTTACAGATGAGGAAATGGAGTCTCAAGGGTAGAAGTGGTGGTACTGAGACAGCGTAGCAGGACCAGAACTTGAACCAGTTCTGTCCAACTGCAATGCCCTGTGTTTCACTCTAGGGACGCCTGGAAAGGGGGGCAGACTCCCCAGGTCTTGTCTGGGCTCTACCTCACCTGCTTGTAGATGAGCTCAAAGGCTCCCGTGTCACAGTTGCGGTCTAGCCGCCAGTCGATGACCACGCGCAGGGTATCGGCTTGCACACCTGCACACAGCCGGGCGGTGACAGCAGTGGAGGGGGCCATGGTGGGGCTGGCATTGATCTCAATCAGCCAGGGCTGGAAATCCTCACCAAACACAAAGTCAGCACCGTAGAGCTCGAAGCTGGCCTTCCGACATTGCACGGTGTCCTGGGAGGTCTGCAGGGCATGGATCACAGCAGCCTTCATGCCAGGCACAATGACAGTGGACCAAGCGTCTGGGGCCCCCATCTCCTTCAGGTGGGCCTGGAACTTCTGGCTCGACCACATGTTGTCTGAGGGCAGGAGTGGGTGCCGATGGCTTGAATTCTCCAGGTGCTTCTGAATGGAGTTGTTGCACAGGTGCACTGAGCTGGGGCAGAGAGCAGAAAGCTGGGGTCTGGCTCCCTAAGCCTCTCCCACCCAAATGTGGGGAGGGCAGGCAGACCCTGGAACCACCCCTGGGCCACCCCAGACCATTTACCTTGAGACGGGACTCTGTGGGGAAGGGCAAGAAGGACAAAGGCCTGGGCCCTGCTATATTCTTGCAGGGCCAGAACCAGTCTCATCCCTCTGAGGGCATTCCCTATGGGGCCACAGAACTATGTGCTTTAGTCTCAGTTAGCCCTCCCAGCGCCTGGAAGGTATGAAGGTGGGTAGGGGTGTGAGCCCTGTAGTCAACAAGACTGCTCAGCACAAAAACAAAAACAAAAACAAAAACAAAAACAAAAAAAAACAGACTGCTCAAGGCCTACCTTCACCACGGACTAGTTGTGAGATCTTTTCACCCAAGTGCTCCTTCACATCTGTAAAATGGGGGTCGTACTAGAACCCACTTCACCGGGATTTCATGAATGAGTGAGACAAAATGCATGAAGTGCTTAGCACCTGTCACATACAAAGAATTCAGTAACCAATAGCTATGAGTTTCATAATACTGCCTCCATTCTTCAGATGTGAAAAGTGAAGCCTCAATAGGCTTCACGTGACCAAAGTCACCCAGCTTAGCAGCTACAGCAATAGAATTTGAACCCAGGATTCAACAAGGCTTTTTTTCTCATCCCCCGAGTTAACACTGCAACTTGCCTCTCTTTTTGCATGTCTTCTGAACCGTCTTACCCTGCTCTATGTTCCTTTTTTTTTTAATAACATGTACCATCTTTAAACCTATTAGATAATTTTACTTATTATGTTCATCGCTTATCTATGAGAAACAGCATTAAAATGATGCCTTATAAGCATAAGGTATTTAACTTCACTCATTATAAAAGAGGTAAAATTAAAATAAGATAACCATTTTTGGCTTAGAATGGCAAAAATAATCAACATTGTTGGGCAGGATGCGGGCAGATCATTTTATATATGCCCAGCTTATGTGCGGGAATTTTGAACTCTTGAGAACTGGGCTCTTATTTTGGTCATTGCTGTATCCCAAGTGCTTAGAACACCCTTGGTAGGTAGCTGTTAGATGGATGGAGGACCTGACGGCCTGCAGTCTGTGTTTGGAGCCCAGCGTGGCATGGGGGAATCACCTGTTCCTTGCCAGCTCCCCAGCTAGACCAGGAGCTCAGAGAAGGTAAGAGAGAGGCTCACTTGTCAAGGTTCTTCAAAGAGAAGGGCTGTGTGGAGAAGCGGATGTAGCTGTCACGATAGAACCACACGGTAAGTGGGTTCCAGTCGGTCACCAGGAACCACTGTCTCAGGTCAAATTTGGTGCCAAAGATGAGCAGAGGCCGTTCAATATACTTTTGTACCACCCACTTGCCGTCCTTCATCATCATGGGATTGCCATCTACCAGCTTCAGCATCTCCTCCAGGTGGTCCATACACATGATGCCTACGTGGGGAAACAGGGTGGTCAGAGATCAGGTCAGGCTTGGGTGAGGAGAAGGACCAGGGGACCATGAACAGCTCATCTTAAGCCCTCATTCCCATAGAACTGATAGGGCCAAGTAGGTAAGGCTGCTTCCCTCAGAACCCTGTTCCCTTTGGGAAAGCTGAGAATCTGCTGAAGATTAAAACATTTTTTTTTGTTAACCACTTCTGTTTGATTGAAAAGTAATATATGCAAAGAAAAAAAAATCAAACCATATTGGGCTTTTTATTTTTTTAAAAAGATTTTATTTATTTATTTGACAGAGAGAGAGAGATCATAAGTAGGAAGAGCAGCAGGCAGAGAGGGGGGGAAGCAGGCTCCCAGCTGAGCAGGGAGCCCAATGTGGGGCTTGATCCTGGCACCCTGAGATCATGACCTGAGTCGAAGGCAGAAGCTTAACCCACTGAGCCACCCAGGCGCCCCCATATTGGGCTTTTTAAAAAACCATGTGCATTTATGATTTTGATTAGTTTTTTCCCAATAATTAACAGAATATAAAATAACAAAAACAAAAAGCAGGCATCCAACTGCTGCTTCTGGGTCCAATGTATATCCTTCCAAGTTATGGGAGAGCCTATGTGCCTCCGTTTGTTAGGATTCTATACCTAAACACGTTAAAGATTTAAAATAGTTCTTGGCCCATAGTGAGCATTCAGTAAACGTTAATTCCTACCATTATTATTAGTTATCTGTAGAATAAATATCTAGCTGTGGATTTCCTGGCTCCAGGGATACATATGTACATGCTTTCATTCTATACTACCCAAGATGTTCTACCAATTTGCACTCCCAGTAAAAGTGTATGATATTATGTATCTGCCCACATCCTACCCAACACTATTGATTATTTTGGCTATTCTTCTAAGTAGAAAATGATTATCTTATTTTATCTCTTTTATAACAAGTGACATTAAGTATCTTATATCTATAAAGCATCATTTTAATACTGATAATGATCAGAGTCATGTTGCAAACATACATATTCACAAATCAATCTCATTCCTTCATTCTTTGGTCCCCAAAGCAGCCCAATCACCTGCTAATGGCACAGAATAACCTGTGCCTTGTTCCCAAGCCAGATCCTTTCTCAAATGACCAGAGTGATCACCAAGATTCCCAAGAATATGATTCCCTGCCTAATAAAAATTAAGGCTGTTCATATCCTTAGACACAGCAATTTTGTTTTTAGAAATATATCCTAAGGAAATGAAAGGCCACAAAGATGTCTGCATAGGATGCTGATGATAGTTTTGCTTGTAACAGCAATTAGTCAGTAAACAAACAAATAGGGGAAAAAACTGGCTGCCATCTAAATATCCATCAGAAATGAATTAGGTAAATCCATGACAGTATATCTAAATGAGAGTGAAGGGACGCCTGGGTGGCTCAGTTGGTTAAGCAGCTGCCTTCGGCTCAGGTCATGATCCCAGCGTCCTGGGATCGAGTCCCACATCGGGCTCCTTGCTCATCAGGGAGCCTGCTTCTTCCTCTGCCGCTGCCTGCCATTCTGTCTGCCTGTGCTTGCTCTCTCTCCCTCTCTCTCTCTGACAAATAAATAAATAAAATCTTTAAAAAAAAAATGAGAGTGGAGTATGCAGCTGTAGAACAGAATGAGGTAAGACAGCACATACTGTTCTTTAATATAATATCCCAAACTAAACACCACTAATCTACTATATTATAAATTAGAATAGGGGTTACCATTGCGGGGGTACATAGAGATGGGAAGGGGCTTGGAAGGGTCCCTCTAGGGTATAGGTAATATTTTATTTCATGATCTGGGTCCTATTTTCACAAGTGTGTTCACTTTGTGATAATTTGTTGAGTTGTATATTTACACATGTATATACCCTTTTCAACGGAGTATCACATACACATTTCAGGTTTTCTTAAAGAACCAGAGATAGAATGTTGAAATTTGGTACAAGATACATGGGGATTCACTGTGTTACTCTCTCTAGTTTTGTGTATTTTGAAAATGTGCATGGGACACCTGTGTGGCTCAGTTGGTTGAGCATCTGACTCTTGGTTTCAGCTCAGGTCATGATCTCAAGTGTGTGTGATAGAGGCCCATGTTGCCCCACACGGAGGGGGCCAAGCAGAGAGTCAGCCTGAAGATTCTCTCCCTCTGCCCTACCACTCCACTCGCAAGTGCACAGCTCACTCTCTCTCTCTCAAATAAATCTTTTTTTTTAAAGAGTTATTTATTTATTTGACAGAGAGACATACAGGAAGAGAGGGAACACAAGTGGGGGAGTGTGAGAGGGTGAAGCAGGCTTCCCGTTGAGCAGGGAGCCCAATGCGGGGCTCGATCCCAGGACCCTGGGATCATGACCTGAGCTGAAGGCAGACACTTAATGGCTGAGCCACCAAGGTGCCCTCAAATAAATAATCTTAAAAAAAAAAAAAAAAGGAAGAGTACCCATAACAATAAGTTAAAAATAGGAAAAAAAAAGAAAAAAGAAAAAGATCTAGATGTACTGAAATGAACTGATCTCGAAGATCTATCGTTAAGAAAAAAAAAAGTGCAAAAAAGAAATGAGTAATACTAACTGATATGGAAAGATATAAGTGAGAAAAGGCTACAGAACAACATATGTTGTTCAAAATAAAACACACAGGGGGTGCCTGGGTGGCTCAGTTGGTTAAGCGTCTGCCTTCAGCTCAGGTCCTGATCTCGGGATCCTGGGATCGAGCGCCGTGTCGGGTTCCCCGCTTGGCAGGGAGTCTGCTTCTCCCACTCCCCCTGCTTGTACTCTCTCTCATGCTCTCTCTCTCTAAGAAATAAAAATCTTAAAAATAAAATAAAACACACACATACACACAACCCTTTCCATCTCTCTCCTCAAATGCATAGAAGAAAGTAAAGAAACACACTCAACAGTTAACAGTAGTTATCTCAGTAAAACTAAGAGTGGCTTTTGCTTTTTTTCTTTCTACTTTCCTGTATTTTCTGGTCTTTTTTTTTTTTTTCTTTTCTTTTCTTTTGGAGAGCAAGCGAGTGCTCGCATGCACACGCCAGAGGCCAGAGTGGGATGGGGAGATGGAGGTAGGGTAGAGGGAGAGGGAAATAGAGGATCTCAAGCAGGCTCCCTGCTAAGCACAGAGCCCAGTGCGGGGCCTGATCTTATGACTGAGCCACTCAGGCGTCCCCAGTCTTTCTTTTTTTTATTTTTTATTTTTTTAAAAGATTTTATTTATTTGACAGAGAGAGATCACAAGTAGGCAGAGAGGCAGGCAGAGAGAGAGGGGGGAAAGCAGGCTCCCCACTGAGCAGAGAGCCCGATGCAGGGTTCGATTCCAGAACCCTGGGAGCATGACCTGAGCCGAAGGCAGAGGCTTAACCAACTGAGCCACCCAGGTGCCCCCTCTTTTTTTAAAAATAATAAATACATATTTTCATAATTGGAAGAAAACCACACAAATATTTTCAAGATAGGAAAAGAAAAGACCAACATGATGATTTTGAAGTGACATCCCCAAATGTCCCAGTGTCTGGACCTTTCACTTGGACATGAACCAATTCATCCAAAAACAGTATTGGAAGAATCTGGAACTCTGTTTTCCACATCTTGTGAGTCCTTAACCAGATTTTTCAGGCTGGGCTAGTGCAGCACCCCAGCTTGCTGGCTCTCCTGTTATAACTCCTCCCATTGGGCTGAGCAGCCAGAATAATAGCTAAAAATAATAGCACTGACATAGCAGTTACTATGGAAAAGCACATATTATACTTACTTAAAACTAGGTAATACTAGTTCCATTTACCAAATGATGAAATGAGGTAGAGAAGAGGTTAACTATCCTGCCCAAAGTCTTACAGATAGTAGAAGGCAAAGTCTGGGCTTGACCTGATGTAGTCTGGTTCTCAGCATCCATTTCCTTAATACTATGCTACTTCACAAGGATGCACTGGTCAAATCAGAGAGCCCTTAGATGACAGGCTACAAGTATCACCAGACCCACTTAAAGCATTAACCCAACTCTGACAGCAGGAGAGGAGATGGCAATATCGTCACAGCAGCCAACATTTATGGGGTGATTACTCTGTGTCAGGGACCATGCTGAGCTTTAGACATACCACCTCATTTAATCCTCACCTCACAGGTTATGATCATCCCTCACAGGTGAAGGAACTGAGATTCAGAGAGGTGATGCACCTTGTTCAAGGTCACACAGCATGTTAGTAGCAAAGCTGGGATTCAAACCCATGCAGTTTGGCCCCAATACAGCCTGCACTATTAACCTCCCCAGCCTCTAGCTGGATAGGCAGGCTGTAGGGCACTGGTGTAGGAAGCAGGGGCTTACTCCCACCTCGTCCTCGGGACTTGGCTCCCGGCTTCACGATCCAGATGTTGCGATCTCCTTCCATGTCCATCTGGGGCACCACAGCCCGCAGCTGCTGCAGGATGTCCTCACAGCGCTGGACCTGAGCGTCAAGGTGCCTGAGTTCTGCCCCCTCGCTGTGGGGAGATGATGGGACATGGGCAGGGCTGAGTCTGGGGGCAGTCTGGTGGACAAGGCAAGAGGAGACAAGAGCCCAACCCCCGGCCATGGTCCAAGCCAGGGTCACACCTTTCCCTAACAGATGCAGATAGGTCTCCTCCAAACCTCCATCCCACCCTCAAGCTGTCCCACAAATTCTAACCAGCCCCGGGAGCCATCTGAGAGTGCTGGAATAGGAGAGAAGGGGAACATTCCACATTTCACATGCTGTCCCACTCTAACACTCCACCATCTGTCACCTTCCTTCTATTACCATAAAACTGCCTTTGGCAGAATTTAATCACACGAGCATCTGATCATGAGGCACCACTATCTGCCAGGCACGGTGCTAGGGGCTTCACATACATCATCACTAACCCTCCCTATGGCCCTGCCAAGGAGGCATTACTGGTCCCATTTTGGAGAGGTGTCAACTGAAGCTAGGAGAGTTCAGAGATTCGTCCAAGGCCACATACTGAGTTCAGTGGCTGAGCCAGGATGCAAACTCTGTCCTGCCTGATCCCTCGACCCACAGGTACTTTTGGGGTTCATTTCCCCTCCAAACCTGGACTGACAACTGGTTGATAGGTGGATTCCTTCCTGGTCTAACTCTTTTCAAGCACATCTGTATCACACAGCCCCTTGCCTTGTCTCTCTTCTCATCACTTACCACCCACACCTATGCTTATTTGGCTGCTGTCTGTCTCCCTTCACTGGAGTCTAAGCTCCAGAAGAGTAGGAACATTGGTTAGCGTTTCCCTTCCCCCAGCAGTATACTGTTATGTGTTCCCGATGAAGTCTGTTGGCTGGATGAATGATTGCCTGACTCAGCACTGGGCTGTCAGATAAGGGTTCATGGACAAAGACGGACTCTGCTCCCTACAGGACACAAATGTCCTGACCTAAACCAAGTCATGGAATACCCTAGATGGCAGCCTCATCCACACCCTCCCATTCCTCTCCCTCTGACTAAACAGGCAGGAAGCTTCTACTAGATGCTAATCCCCCTTCACATCTTAGCCTTAAGAATGTTCCAGCACGAAGAACTTCCAGTTCTTATACTAAGGAGGCAGCAGCACCCAGTGGGGCAGCACCAGGAGCAGTGACAGCAGCCAGATGGAGGGGTACTTGTCAAGTCCTCTTAGGAATACTTGCACCTAAGCCCTGACACTTCGATTTCGAGAGGGTTTGCTGGAAACCTTTCTGTAGGCCATGACATAGAGAATCTACTCAGTAAACCTGTGATTTGGCCAAGGAAAGTGTCATATGAGGATGGCAGGGGTATGTGCAATTGAAAAATACATGAGATAGGACAATGTGATTTTTGTATTTAACAACAACGAAAAAAAGCAATCAGTATGTTTGTGGGAAGTCAATCTTGATAAAAACCTGACTGGTGAGTCATGGATTTGTTTCAAAAGTGAAAATACAGCAGTAAATATCGAATGAACAAAAACTAATCATCTATAACTTCTGTGAGTGAATCGCTTAACACTATACATGTCATATGATGTAACTTAAAAAATTTTTTAAAGATTTTATTTACTTATTTGACAGAGAGAGACTGAGAGAGCACAAGCAGGAAGAGCAGCAGAGGCAGAGGGGAAAGCAGACTTCCTGCTGAGCAAGGAGCCCAATGTGGGACTCGATCCCAGGACCCTAGGATCATGACCCAAGCTGAAGGCAGACGCTTAACTAACTGAGCCACCCAGGTGCCCCTAAAAACTATGTTTGACAAATGTTCCCAAAGCAAATTTTTTTTTTTCAAGTAAGCTCTGTGCTCACCGTGGGGCTTGAACTCACAACCCCAAGACCAAGAGTCACATGCTCTAGCAACTGAGCCAGCCAGGCATCCTTATAAGATGTAGAATTTTATGTATCCCGACTTTTGAGAAGTACCCATGGCCCTCTAGAACTTGGCCCCCCCCCATCTACAACTACAAAAGACTCATGTTCTTTACACCTAATGTTCTAACTCGGTCTTGTAATTCTTAGTTTAAGAAGGGTAGCTTTTCTGGTATTTTTCTGATAGTTAAGGGGAAAGTATAGGGTCATCTAGTTTTTAATTTCTAACATTTAAAAAGATACAAATGAATTATTTATCAATGATGCAGGTTTGCTCATCATGTCATTCATTCAAAGTTCACTTATCAGTTCTTTAGTCTCCCCTATCAAAATCAGCAAGTCTGCCCGCTCCTTCCTATTACTACCGCGGCTGAGGCCCTTAGCACTCCCACCTGGCTTGCCACAAGCCTCCCCACTTGAGCTGTTTATCCCCTTGAGGGCAGGGACTATACTTTATTTCTGGAGCCTGGCACCATGCTGGGCATATAGGAAGTGCTCAATAAATGCTGGATGTTCTCTTGCCTTCTGAGCACTTCTTCCCTTCTCTCTCCTGCACACCTCTGCTAAATGGAATCCCAGTCTCAACTCCCTTCCTCTGATCAAGAACTTTTTCCCAGAGTGTCTTCCGAAAATATAGTCCCTCAGGATGCCTGTGGAGGGGTGCGGGGTGGAGGGGTCACATAATAACAGGATATATACTGTACCCATATCTCTCTTGGAGGTTAACCCACCCACAGGTTCTGATAAGTCCTGCATCAAGGAATTAATTAACTTTGCTTAACCCAATGTTTTCCAAATGCAATGGACCACAAAAATCTTTCTTTCATAAAATCGATTTCTGTCCTGCAGAACTAAGTATCCCATGCAACACACTTTGGGAAACACTGGCCTCCAGAATAAAACCTAAACAACTTAACAGATTCTCATTTTGTGAGTAAATACTGAGTCTGTGCAGAGCACATAACACAGATTATCCTGTCTAATCCTACCTTTGAGTCAGACATTATTTTAAAATCTATTTTGCATGTGCAAAGTAAAGCTCAGAAAGATTAGTGATGTTGCCAAGGTCAAAGAGCTTGGAAGCTGCAAAGTTAGGACTATCTGATAGGGCTGGCCATGATCTTAGTCATTATGCTAAGCTGAGATTCAGGAAGAATCTCAGAAGAATCTTAGAAGAATCTACCATGAAGGCAGTGGGAGTCCCTGAGAGTTCTTGAGCAGAAGCAGCAGGGCAAACAAAAGGGGTATGTCTGGGGAAGAGAGAGGGGCTACACTACATATGCATCAGCTCAGAACGCAGAAGCCCTGAGAACAAGGGGAACCTGCCCGCAGCCCACTGTCCTAGCGGCAGAGGTACTCACTGAACCACTTGGTAGTAGCGCTGGAGGAAGATGGACCAGCCCTCAGGGCTGAGGTACAGCGGCGCCCCCAGGTCCTTGTCGATGTCCATGTGAGCCAGGTTGCTAAGGTGCTCTTCACAGGCGCACAGAGCCTCATCCACAAACTCTGGGGACACCATCACTGGCTTTTTCTCCTGTTTCTTGGGCTGCTTGTCTCCTGAAGATAGGAAGGGACCTGTCACTAACCGATAGGCAAGGCATAGAACATGACACATGCCACAGCCCCCACTGCTCCAAGGCCTGTCATTTACACAAGGCCTTACCTTGCATACACCTGAGGCTCAGCACACACCTGTATCTCCTACTGTCCTGGGACCTGTCACTTACCCGAGGGTTTGTTCTAAATTCCCCTGTGACCCTAGTACTCACCCTTGGCCCTCACTGTCCCAGGGCCTGTCATCCACTTGAGGTTCCACCCTAAATATCCCAGAGCTTCTCAGCCCCAGTAGCCCCAGCACACACCTGCAGCCTCTCTGTTCCTGGGACCTCTGACACACCTGAGGCCCTTGTGTCCCTGATCCTGGCACACAAGTCTTCTTTGTACCTGACACACCCAGGAGATAGCAATGGAGAGGTCTCTCTCTGGAAGAGGCAGGATTTTCCTCCATCCAGTAGAGCTGTCCCTTATTTCCCCTGACACCATGGCCCTTGGATTATAGGATGGGAACTCTGAGGTAGGAGCTAAGTTCAGAGACAGGGAGAGCAAGCAATGGGTTGGGACAACATGCAGTAGGGGATTCTCTGTGTCCCCCTCCACAAGGCACAAGGGGTCCTCAGACCACATGAAACTACATGGTTCCACTACTTCTTCCTCCTCAGAGATGTGAGCTCCCCACAGGCAGGGATGGACCATGTCTTCTTAGTCTGTCCTCTCCATAGTGCTTGGCCACATGCCAGGCCCATGGAGGGCTGAATGATGCAATGGATTAACAAATGAATCAGAAGACAGGTGGGAGGGTGGCTGGGAGAAGAGATGAATGGGTGGGCTGGAAGATACATGGGCGGTGGATAGGAGAATCCCTAAAAGCAGGGGGACAGATGGGTAGGTGGATTTGTGGGAGGGTAGGTAGAAAGGTGGAGGAGTAGACAGATTCATGAGAAGTGTGGAGTGTGGAGCTGAGAGAAGGTTTGTGAATGAGGAGATCAATAGTAGGGGGATAGGTGGGGTGATGGGTGACTGGATGGATGGATGGGGGGTGAATGCGAGCTGAGTGGGTAGGAATAGGTGAGTAGAAAGTTAGATGGATGAGTAGATGGATGGATGGACAATGGGGGGGGGGGGGTAGATGGGGGGAGGGGGGGGGGGGAAGGGGTGATGGAGGAGATGAATGTGACTAATACATAGATAGATGTATACATAAACAGATGGATGGGTGAGAAGATAAAAATAATAGGTGGGAAGTGAGGGTAACTGTAGTACTTGCCTGGGGCCTCTTCCTCTTCTGCCTGGATAGAGTATGACTTCCATTCGGACTTTACCACCAGCTTGAGAACGTTGCGAGCAGCTGTCAGCCAGAAGTCCTCTGCTCCCAGGGCAGGGGATACCCTGCTCAGCCCCTAGGCTCAAAGCCTGTTCTGGTTCTGGAACCTGATCATAACCTGCCCCATTCTGGATCCGGAACCTAACTACCTTCTGACTCTACACTCTGGGGTTAGAACCTGGCTCCTGTTCAGTTGTAGAACCAGGCCTAGAATCTGACATGGCTCATATTCTGCCTTCAGAATCTTGCCTGAACCTGTTGTCTCATTTCCCCCTTCTGTTCCTGATCCACTTTTGATAACTTATTCTAGCTCGAGAACCAGACCTGAGCATAAAAACTATGTCAGGTTTGGAAATGAATTCAGACCTAATATCTAATCTGTACACAAATTCTGACCTGAATTTTAGAATGGAAACTCTTCCGCCTTTAGGAACCCAAAGTTTAGACCCTTTTCTAGATCTGGAACCCAGTCTAGCCAGTGGAATTTGACATAGGCCTGGAACATACTGTGGGCTCCAAACTCAATCCATTGACCAACTTTTAGAACCTGCTTTAGGATGCAGTCTAAGCTATCTAAGCTCTTCTGGAGGTCTAGATCGACCAAGCTAGATAGTTCATTAAGGGAGGCACATTAGGGAAGGATAGGGTAGGGCACGGAGGAGGAAATCTGCTGGGTTGGATGAGGGCATAAAGAGAGGCTCTCTGCTCTCTAACGTGAACACGTTTTAGCCCTCGTGCTTCGGCCTGGGAGTCCAGGCATGGGGCTGGCTTCTCCTTACCTATGAAGGCCTTTTTGTCATCCTCAGCCCCCAGGCGGTAGCAGCGTGGAAAGAAGGAGTCAGCATCAGCCTCATCAAACCACGGCAAATTCCGGAGATTGAGACATAGACCCACCTATGGAGTTAGCTGCTGAGGGGGCATAGTGGGACTTGCCCAGACACCTCCAAGGGACTCCCCACATTCAGTACACACCCAGACAGCTCAGGGAGACCCTGCTTGAGTGTTCTCAGAGCCTCTGCCACACTTGCTAGGCCTGACTCACTTATATCCGTCTCCATGTGTATGCCCACGCAGTTTGCCCTGCCAAGAATGCCCCACACCCCTCCTATCCATCCTTTCACATTCTTAAAGAACTGCCTCCTCTGGGAAGCCTCCCCAGCCCATACCACTAACATAATAGCATGTTCCAATAATAAAGCCCTTCATTCTTGCCACAACCCTATAAGGTAGGTCCTACTGGTGTTCTCATTTAAAGACAAGGAAACTGAGGTCAGAAGTGAAGTCACTTGTTAATAAACCCAGATGGGACAGAATGGATCCAGCAGCTGGATATCCCTTGCTTAGTTGGTAAGGGCTCTATTGTTTATGGTCATTAGACTTGGTGTTTTTCTGGCTCCAGATCGTATTTGGATCCTGGAGTCTATTTTAATCATTATGTCTACATGTGCCAGACATGCTGCAGGGGCTGGATTCGAACTCAGGCTGCCTGACTCCAAATCCCACAGAATCATATACCTCTCTGCCTCCTGAGAACTCTCTTTTCCTGACAGGGAAAGCAGGCAATGGAGTTGTCAGCCCAAGGGCTAATGGGTTAGAAGCTGCCATGCCCACCCCCCTGGGGAACCCACCTTTGTGGTAAAGGAGCCAGCCCGGGCATAGTGGTTTATCATTTGATCCTTGGAGAGGAAGCGACAGTCCAGCACATCCCGCCGAGTGGTCCAGATGAAATAGGGAACCTCGTTCCGAACCATGCGGGACTAAGGAGAGCCGAGGAGACAGGGGAGGCTGGGGTGGGCAGCCCAGGGCCTGAGGAAACTTCTCCCCGGCCTGTTGAGTAGGGTGGGAGTATGGAAGGAGAAGGTGCTTCCGAGGTGGCCTCTAGCCCACACCCCATCTTTATGTGTGTTAAGAAGACATCTCTTCCTCCAGAGCACACACTTGTGAGCAGAAAAGAGGCTGACTTACAGAACTCCTTTTGGCCAGGTGCCCCTACACAGTGACTAAGCCACACAACTGAATGCCGCCCCTTTGTTTTGGCCCATGGCTATCAGTGACTTGCTCAGTGGCAGGACAGTGACTCCAGGCTGATGGGCATATGTGACAAAGGTTCTCTCAGGGTTCTTCCACCCCTATCATTCCCACAGCTCTGGGAGGTAGGGTTACTCGCAGGCAATGACATCACATGCCAGGCCCTATTCTAAGTGCTTTTCTTCCTTTCTTTCCTTTTAAGTGCTTTTTTTAAAAAAAGATTTTATTTATTTGACAGAGATCACAAGTAGGTAGGGAGGCAGGGGAAGAGAGACGGGGGGAGGCAGGCTCCCTGCTGAGCAGAGAGCCCGATGCAGGGCTCGATCCCAGGGCCCTGGGATCATGACCTGAGCTGAAGGCAGAGGCTTAACCCACTGAGCCACCCAGGCACCCCTCCTATTAAGTGCTTTTGACATCAATTCACTTAATCCTCAGCACGAAGTAGGTGCTACTATTATCCCCTTTCACAGGTAAGGGAATTGAGGCACTGGGAGGGCAGGTGACTTGTCCAAGAGCCCACACAGTTAAGCCATATGAAATTGCCAGTGTTCAGTCTTTTCTGATATACAAAAATGGTAATTTGGTATGTTCAGCTTAGTAAGTGGTGGTGCCAAGATCCAAAGCCAAGCGTCCTCACTCTGATACAGAGGTGTCCTCCCCTCCACATCATCACATCAGACCTTTCAGAGCTTTTTAAGCCCTTCCTTCCAGCCTTCACTTGCCAAGGGCAGAGGAAGGATGTGAAATATAGGGTTTTATTTAGAAGGGGGAATTACCAGGTGTGGAGGTTATGCTAGCTTCTGGTATAACCTAGCAGGATTCTGATCCCAGGCCAGCCTTGTCTGAGCCCCACTGTGCCCCTCACCACTCTGCTGGCCCACCCAGGCTTTATAGAAGCAATCCGTTTTTAGTGTGGATAGGGAAAATGAGGCCCAGAGAAGCCCTCACCCTCTCAGCCCCTCCCTACCAGCCCCCCCAGGGGCCCTCACCATCAGAGCATGTGTCCCATCTAGGTCATCAAATTCCAGGAAATCATCAAAGTCAAACAGCTGCGATGGCCGAAATGCCTCGTCCTCTTCTTCATCCTCTGTGGACGTAGAGCCCTGGCCTGGTGAGGCTCCTGTCCCTGCCCCATAGACCCATACCAAAGTCTCAACCCTGGGAGAGCAAGAACCAAAGGAAAGAGACTCAGGAGGGTCATCCTGCAGAAAGGGAGGGAACTGCTTACCATCCTCAGTGGTGTCACTGTCACCGATTACCGAGCTATCCAGATCCTTCTGGGATGGTGGCAGATTGGTGCCCGAGTGATGGACCATCTTCTTCTCCACCCAGCCTCTCCGGCGCAAGAGGCACCGTATCACTGGGTAGCGGCCTTGGATCATAAAGATCTTTTTCTGCTGTAAGGTGAGAGGAGGACACTTGGTCAGTATCATCCAAGCTCCAGACCATGGGATATAGTGGTGAACAAGTTCTGGTTTCTGCCTTCAGGAAATTTTTATGTTCCAGCAGGGAAGATAAATTATAATCAAACAGGGAAAATAAACACGAATAGTTAATAGTTATAATGGTAAGAGCTAAAAATTATTGTGTACCTACTGTACACTGCTTAGTTTATATATACTACTAACAATGATATGTATTTTTTATTATTTTTAAAAAAGATTTTATATATTTGACAGTGAGAGAGGGAACACAAGCAGGGGGTGTGAGATAGGGAGAAGCAGGCTTCTCACTGAGCAAGGAGCCCGATGTGGGGCTCAATCACATGACCCTGGGATCATGACCTGAGCCGAAGGCAGACGCTTAACGACTGAGCCACCCAGGTGCTTCAATAATGTATTTTTTTTTTAAAGATTTATTTATTTGAGGGGCACCTGGGTGGCTCAGTGGGTTAAAGCCTCTGCCTTCAGCTCAGGTCATGATCCCAGAGTCCTGGGATCAAGCCCCACGTCGGGCTCTCTGCTCAGCAGGGAGCCTGCTTCCTCCTCTCTCTCTGCCTGCTTCTCTGCCTACTTGTGATCTCCTTCTGTCAAATAAATAAATAAAATCTTTTTAAAAATTTATTTATTTGAGAGAGACAGAGACAGAGAAAGCATGAGCAGGGGGTACAGAGGGAAAGGGAGAGAATCTCAAGCAGACTCTGCACTGAATGTGAAGCCCAATGTGGGGCTCAGTCTCACAACACTGAGATCATGACCTGAGCTGAAACCAAGAGTTGGACACTTAACTGAATGCACCACCCAGGTGCCCCCATAATATGTATTCTTTAAAAGATTTTATTTATTTATTTGACAGACAGAGATCACAAGTAGGCAGAGAGGCAGGCAGAGAGAGAGGGGGAAACAGGCTCCCTGCTGAGCAGAGAGCCCAATTCGGGGCTCGATCCCAGGACCCTGAGATCATGACCTGAGCTGAAGGCAGAGGCTTTAACCCACTGAGCCACCCAGGCGCCCCTAATATGTATTTTTAATAGGTGCTATTTCCCCACTTAACTTATTATGAAACAGAGGCATAGAGAGGTTGACTAGTTTGGCTACACAGTGATTAAGTGAAAGAGCAAGGACTAAAATCCAGATTGGTTGCTCCCACAACTGGATACATAATGGGGACTCACAATAAAAGTACATACATGGGAAGGGTAAAAAGCAACCATGAGTATACAGAGTTGGGCAAATGGCAGTTCAGGCAGAGGGAAAAGCATGTGCAAAGACCTTGAGGCTCTGAGGTCAGAAGAAATTGGAAGGAAGCCAGTGAGAATGGGGTGTGAAAAACAAAGGGACGGCTGAGGAAGCTGGTAGCAGCTAGACTGTGGAAGGCCCTGCAGGCCTTGAACAGACTGGGATTTTCTATTAAGAGCAGCATGAAGCAATGAAGACAAAACGAGGGCATGATAGGATTGGAGGGTTTACAAGTTTGGCTTGTTGCTATACAGAGAACAGATGAAGGGGCCAGGGAGGGAAGCAGGGAGAAGGGTTAGAAAGCTGTTACAAAAATAAATAAAATTAAATAAAATAGGGGCACCTGGGTGGCTCAGTGGGTTAAAGCCTCTGCCTTCTGCTCAGGTCATGATCTCAGGGTCCTGGGATCGAGCCCCACATTGGGCTGTCTGCTCAGCAGGGAGCCTGCTTCCTCCTCTCTCTCTCTGCCTACTTGTGATCTCTCTCTCTGTGTCAAATAAATAAATAAAATCTTTAAAAAAATTAAATAAAATAAAAGGCTGTTGTGATTTGTGCAGGAGAAAAACCACAATAGCTAAAATGAGGGTGAAAATGTGGAGAATGTGACAGAGTAGAGACCTGTTTTGGAAACAGAGGTGACTGGTTTTGCTGATGGAATTAGATGTGTAGAAGGTGAACAGAGCGCCTGGCTGGCTCAGTCAATATAGTATGTGACTCTCGATCTTGGGATTTTGAGTTTAAGCCCCATGTTGGGCATAGAGGTTACTTAAAAAAAAAAAAAATCATGACTGTCTAGATGTGTGGGTGAATGAACAGAAAGATCATATTTCCAGCTTGAGCAACTGGTTGATGAGGAAAATGGGAGATTAGGGAGAATGACAGATTTAGGCAGGAAAATGAAAAGTATGGTTTGAGACATAGGTTTGGAATGGTTCTAAGTTCTCTCTGGGTGAAGATATCAAGTAGGGGGCTAGATCTAAGGAATGTGTAGTTAATGGAGAGGCTGGGCTGCAAGGGGCACGTAGAGGGCACAGCACATTTACTGGACTCACAGTCAAGGAGACAGGTGTGGGGAGGGATCCAGGAAACCAGGAAAGCTCCAAGGATCCTTCAAAGGCAACTGTAAAGCAGCAGCCAGGGAGGGAGAAAGGAAAACTAGGTGTATGCAGACAGCCAAGGGGCAATAGTGTAGAATGACATGAGGTACCAGACCGAGATTAGGGCAGAAAAGCGGCTGCTGGATTTGCCTCCTCGGGGGTCATGAATGACCTTGACTAGAGTGGTTCCCCATGGTAATGGGAAAGGTTAGGAACCAGAGTGGTAAGAGCTGAAGGGGTGAATGCCAGGTAAAGAAGTTACACAATTCCGCCAGAAGTGGTACTGAAAACTTTGGAATATTTTAAGATGGGTGTGGGATCAAGGTTTTTGGTTTTGTCTGTTTTTAAAGGATGTAAGAAGAAAGTTCAGGGAGGCAGGCTAAGCCACTCTGCGGGCCCTTTCAAGACACCCCCCAGCCCCCTCCAACCTTGACAGCTCTCTCCACGTGGATTCTGGCGTTTCTGAGCCGGCCCATGTGGTGAGATGGCTTGGAGAATCCTCGCCAGAGGACAAGGGAACCTGCAGAAAGATGCAGAATAGGGATGGGGCAGGCTGGAGGCTCAGCCTAGAGTCTCTCCCGGCCTCCAATGACCACACTCCTTTCTCCGCTCTTCATCCGGAGCCCACACTCTCCCGACCTCTTATTCCCTCCAACCCAAGTCTTCTTGTTCTTGCAACCACCTCCGGCCACGATGGGCGGGCGGCAACGGGCCTCACCGTCCCGCGACTGGCCATAATCCGGAGCCGGGGTGTTCAGGAACCCGAAGGGGCAGAGATCCGCGGCGCTCTGGGCGTGGGTGCCTTGGGCCTGAGACTCGAAGGCGTGGCCTAGGCGGCGGGCAGAGGCTAGGCTGCGGGCCTGGCGTTTACCTCCTGCGTGAACCCCCTCGGGACAGGCGGAGGCGGGTCCCTGCCAAGGCAGCGGGTTGGCAGGCGGGAACTCGGAGTGGCACGCCCAGCGCCATGGGGCAGGGGAACTGGTGCGGCCGCCCTCTCGGCGGTACCAGGCGGCGGGACCCTGGTGTGCGACCCCCAGCTCCCTCGCGCTCAGGAGCAGCGGCGCGCCGGGGCCCAGCATGCGCCCCTCGCTGCGCGCGCCCTCCCAGCGCGTGAGAGCCCTCCTCCCCCTCTGCGCGCCGCCTCCTCTCAGGGGAGCAGGGCCCTCCGTTCCGAGGCCCCGCCTCCTGTTTGCTGTTGCCCAGGAAACCATTCCCTTGGCACAATCCGGGAGTGGGTTCGGGTACTCCCTTTTGCGGGCTTAAGTCCGGACCGCTAAGCAGGGGTACCTAAAGTGGAAGCGTGGAGCACTGTGCTGCCAGTTAATTTCAGCATCATGGTTCCTGTGGCTTGAGTCATTCCACCGTATTTATGGAGAGCAACCGTGCTAGGCAGTGGGCTAGGGCTGGAGACTAGAAGCTAGAAATGATCCCTGACCTCATGGAGCTTACAGCCCAGTGGAGGGGAGACAAAAAAGCAAGCAACAAAGGAATAAAAGAGCTGTAGGTATGGTAAGGGCAATGAACAAACAGCAAACCAACCAGGAAGGGGACATACTTAAGAAAAAGATGGCCTTTCTGAAGAGGTGACATTTAGGCTGAAGCCTATGCAAAGGAGCTCAGAAGTTGGCTAGTGAAGAGGGGTAGGAATAGCAATCCAGACAGGAAGGTCTCAGCAACACCCCTGAGAAGGGTTAAGAACCCTTCCCTGCAACTAAGAGGTAGGCAGTGTGGCTGGAGCCTGGTGAGAGTGCGCTAGATCTGCAGGGCCTGGTGGATGGGCCTAGCCAGGGTAAGGTTCCCTGGGGCTGATCTGAAAACCAGGGCAGTGTATGGGGGAAACAATGAGAAAGTAGAGTGCAGCACACTCCCCCTGCCCTCCATAACTAAAAATAGAAAAACAGATCGCTTGAGTCAACCGCAGAAAAAATAAAATGGAACAGTTAGGTGCAGCCCTCAAGACTGCAAAGACTGTAAGTAAACTTTTTGGAGGCAGTAGCAAAGTATGATCTTCCGAAGTCGTAAGTAACATAAAGCTCCAAAATGTTAATTCGCCTAAAATCACACAGCAGAGCCAGCACTGAATTCAGTTCTGACCGCAAAATCCCACTCTTCAACATAAACATTATTTAACATAACTATATATTACCACTCAGGTAATGGGTCATAAAAGCACCCTAAGAACAATTTGAGGTGCAAATTCCAGCAGTGCTCATTCAAGCAGAGTGCAGGTAAGAGAGTACTCTGGTCTGAGAACCCAGCTTTGTTATCAGATAGATCTGCCAGTAGAGTGAGGGTGGGTCCTCAACCTCACTGTCCAGCCAATCTCAACCTGAGATCGCTCTTCTCAACCCCTGACCACACCTTGTTGGAGACTGGGCTTCCCAAAAGACATGCCCCAAGAAGAGGGTAGGCTGATTGGCAACCATCCAGTCTTTCTCATCCGCCTGCAAATCTGGTTGTTAGGGGCTCTGGATCCTGGGAGATGGATGTGACAAACGGCTGGCTCACCCAGGCAATGCCGTCCTGTGAAGGTTGAGTGAGCAGCTGCCATACTCTTTTGAACCACCAGCTTCACCGTGAGCACCTTTAACATTCACTGCAGTTAAAACATACCCGTGCCCCCAGTGGACACACCTAATTCTGTAAGGCAGGAGGAGGCCGTCACAGGTAATGTCATAAAGGGGATGGTAGCTGTCCAAGTTGCCCCCACCCCCAACCCCTCCTCCCTTTAACATTACCTATCCTCCACCTCAAGAGACTTCTTTGGTGGTCTGGAAAAACCTTTTGAAAAGTTCAGATCAAAGGCTGAAACTTTTCCTGTCACCCACTTCCATAAATATACCACCTCCCCTCCTGGGTAGACTACCACAGAATCAGTTTGCAGAAACACTTCAGTGCACCTACTTACACATTCAGCTTTCACTATCCCCCCCCCAAGTCTCTCCAAGACAGGGATAAGGTCACTCCACCAACCCCCAAGCCTAGTGCAATGGAAATTTTCAGTTTGGATACTGCTCTGGTGGAAAAATCAGCTGTAGTTTATTCAGTACCTATAACACAGTACCATGTCGGCCTGTTCACAATATCTCCACTTTATGGAATAAGAAACAAGCGCACAGAACATTAGGAACTCACGCAAATTCAGCCTTGAGAGTCAGGACTTGAGCACCGTGTTTGGTTTGTTTGGTTTTTAACTTCAAGGAGTCACCAAGGTCTAGTGCTGTCCAACAGAACTTTCGCCAGTGATGGAAATGTTTTATGTATGTACTCTCTGACATGGTAGGAATTAGTCATTTGTATTTATTGAGCACCTGAAACACCTCTGGTGGGAATGAGGAAGTGAATTTTAAGTTTTTAACTTTAATAATTTAAATAGCCACATGTAGCTAGGGATTATAGACAGAGCCAGAAGCCTTAGATTTGAAGCATACTCTCTCGGTCACTAGCTGGGAGTTTTGGAGCAAGCTGCTACATCTCAAGGAACCACAGTTTCCTTAGCCATGATAAGGAATCATCATTTCTCTTAGATTACCTTTTAGCCCAAATGAGCTCTTTATGTGAAAAGGACCAAAGCTTCGTACAGGCACAGAGCAGTTTCAGAAATGAATGGTGCTTGGACTGTAATGGGGGTCTCTGGGTCGGGGCCCTTGGCACAGAGAACATCAGAAACCAATCAGAAAGACGACTACTGATGGGGCCCCCCCCAAGTACCAACTACATTGTCTTGGGAAGAAAAAGCCCCACTGCACCCCCCACCTTTCATATACACAGTGCACAGACCTCATGCAGCCCCAAAGGGGCAAGGAGAGACTTTAATCAGGAGAGGAGGCAGGATCCACCAGAATAAGAAAAGGTACAGCGAGCGAGGGAGCAGAGGAGCCAGAGCAGGCGTAAGAGACCCAGCTCAGGAAGCTCTGGAAGACTCACCCCTCCAACTCTAGCACAGGCACTGCACTGATAGACAAGGCAAATCAGTGGCCCCTCTCAGCTGGGAGGGCACAAAGAGGCCCCGTGGCCAGAGGCACCTGGCTTTCAGTGCCCAGCTTTGAGGCATGGCTGGTGGCCACCAATTCAGCCCTTGTTTCCAACCAGTGCTGGGTGGCTTATCTTCAGGCAGAGCTCAGGAAGCTGGCGGAGAGTCTGAACAACTTCCACTGGGCCCAAGGAGGCTCAAGAGTAAGAGGGCAAAGGAAAGGAACTGGAGTCTGAAACCTTCCTCCTTCCCTCCCTCTCTCCCAACCTGGGACTTCCTGGAGGTGGGGGGGGGGGGCGCGGGGAGACACACACAATAGTCGCCTTCTGGCTCCAGGCCCGCCCAGACCCACAGCGACCAATATGGTACAATCACTGGGACCAGTCACAGCCACTGGAGGGGGAGGGTGTTTTGTGTAAAAAAAAAAAAAAAAAAAAAAAAAAAAAGACAAAAAGGTTACAGTCTCCTACAAGCACAGAATTTAAGTTTCAAGACGTTAAAAAAAAAATCTGTCCCAGCCCAGGGGACTGAACATCAGAAGCCAGCCTGACCAGGCACGTGTGGCCTTGGGGCAGGTCCACTGCTGCTTTGTTGCCCAGCTAGCAAGCATACCACCCACCTCCCGCATCTAATGCCCACCCTGACCCAGCTCCCCAGCTCTGCCGCTGCTGTTGCTGCCGCCGCCGCTGCTGCTCTGGGGAGTAACTCCAGGATGCCTTCGCAGAGACACAGGGGAGTCTGAGGGGGAAGGCCTTGAGATCCAGCCAGATGGTTTAAAACTGTCAAAAGAACCAAGAGGCAGTGAATGGCAGTTATTAGTGTATCCTGGCAGGCCTGCTCTGGGGAGGTAGGCTGATCTGAGAGCTGCTAGCTGCTACTGTGCTCAGATTTCTGAGGGATAGGTTGGGTCCTAGCACACCTTGTAGGCACCCGCTTTCTAATTCAACCTGCATTCAGCAGTGACCTTCAGGGCTAACTAGTTTAACTAATGTTACTAACTAGTTTAACTAGTGTTAAACCTAGCACTAGACAAGACAGAAAAATTAAGGGTGAGGCAGGCTCTTCCAAAGCTCCCTTTAACCATGTCATGGTGACTGCTATAGAGAGCTGTCAGTGCCTTGCTTGAACTGAGATGGGAGCTTGCATGCAAGGGCATGGGGATTAGGGGGCCAGGAGCAGCAGGACCCATGATCTGGTACTTTCTGTCAAGCTCTGGGTGGTTCTCCAGCCATAATACACCCTTGGAAATATCTTCTGCCCTCAAGTATCCCCCATGGTGCCCAGAGCAGCCGCACACATCTTACAGATCAGCGACTGTGGCCCAGTGGCCCACAGACGGGACCCAGCCCAATAATGAACACTGTCTGGTCCACAAAGTCTTTAAAAAAATATGAATTCATTGCCAACCTTGAAAATATAAGAGATGTCACATACAAATCCAGATTTGGCGATTCTTTTAAAAAGCTGAACAATGAAACCGTCATGGGCGGGAGCTCTGTGGCAGTAGTCACCCTCTTCAGAAGAGCCATGTGCTTACCAGATCCCCAACGGCCCACTTCACTCCCATGCATTACCTGCCTAAGCCCCTCATGCACCTGAGTATGTGACCCCTGCCGAACGCTACGGTGCCATCTTGATCTTTGAATCTGAAAACCAAGCTCTAAGTCCCAGTTCCTCCTCTTGCAGGCTCAGGGCCCTTAGGCAGGTGACTTGACTTTCGGAGCCCAGTTCACTCACCCATAAAATAGGGATAACCCATGACTCAAAGATTGTTTCAGGGATTGAATGAGATAGATAAATGTTCTTAGCTGTGTAATTATAGAAATATAGTTAGCATCTGAAACTAACAGTATACTATATGTTGGCTAACTGAATTTAAATTAAGAAAAAGAAAGAAATGCAGTTATTGTAATTAAACGGTGAATGAGCCAAATATTAAATTAGGACAAGAACTATTTTCCTTTGCAGGGGGCCTGGGTGGCTCAGTGGGTTAAGCCTCTGCCTTCAGCTCAGGTCATGATGTCAGGGTCCTGGGACCGAGCCCCACATTGGACTCCCTGCTCAGCAGGGAGCCTGCTTCCCCTCTCTCTCTCTCTCTCTCTGCCTACTTGTGATCTGTCTGTCAAATAAATACATAAAAATCGCTAAAAAAAAAAAAAAAGAACCCTTTTCCTTTGCAGTTGAATGTTAGGCCTTGTAGTGCCTTGGCCATAAAACTTTGGTGCTACAATACCTGGAAAGCTCACTATGTACCATATGATTTGCTTTGTATACCTCTCCTCATTTAATGCTCAACCATACTAGAACATACATATTAATGAATAGTCTCATTTCACAGCTGAGGAAACCGAGGCTTCATATTGAGAGATTCAATAACATGCCCAAGTGGGCAGCGGAGCTGGATGCACACACAGGCAGTATGACCCCACAGCCTATGCGATCTGAACAAGTATGCTACCCTGCGTGCACAGTACACTGTGCACTGACTTTTGTACACTGACTGTCCTCAGTATAATTAAAGCCCAGGGGAAAAAGGGGTAATTTCTATTTTTAGGATTCTGAGCTCCTTCTGGGCTGGATCTGTATGCACTGGTAGGAGTAAACACTAAGTCTACCATCTAGGGATTATAGTTAACTCAAAGCAGAACATGTCAACAAACCAAAAACTGGAAGAAGAGGAGAAAAAAAGAAGGCCATGTCCTGAATATCTAAATAAGAACAACTGTGTCATCAGCTCATCAGTGTAAATAATTTCTCCTCTTCAGAGGGCTGCAGTCCCTTCAGTTGGGAACACAAACAACTGAAAAGGGATCTGGAGGGACTGAAGCCATGAAAGTAATGGGAAACAGGTCGAAAACATCATGACTATAAGCCTGAGAAAGAGACGCTGAAAACATTCAAATCTGTTTGAGAAGTAGAATTACACTGATTAACTGTCCTACATTCTTGGAATATTCCCATGTAGATCTAACTTGCCTCACCTGAGGTTTGAGCTAGATATAGGGAAGGACTAAGTACATTTTGAGATGTAGAAAGGATCATCTAAGTCCCCATGAGAGACTAAGGGAGGTCCTTGAGTTACAGACAATGCACTGCAGGTCCCAAACATGACCCCTGGGTCCCCCAGCCCCAAGGCACCTGGCTGACATGACACCCACCAGCAGGTCCTATAGGCCTCAGGAAATATTCACACTGCTGGCACCACTTTACCACCAGATGCTAAGTTCTCAACCCACAGCTCATCCTACCTCTGGAGGGACACCAAGAAGACCGACACTTACATTCTTGAGGAACTCCTCAGCCACGATGCGCGCACGAGCGTTAACCGACAGCTTCATCTCACTGATCTCCTTGTCAATCTCCTCCATGAAGTGGATCACAAAGTCCACCAACTTGTGTTTATACATCTGTTCTGTGTGGAAGTTGGTGATCAGAAAACTGATGTCATATCCCTGGGGAGGGAAGACAGTAGAAAAGAGAAAAAGAAGGAACAGGAGAGAATTAACATCCCAGGGCACTTAGTAGGCCATGTCCTCTATGGTCACTCAGCTACATGCTTCCTACTGGCCGTGATCTTCTCCCAAGTCTCATGACCTTCAGGCAGCAGCTGCCTGCTCTGCTAGGGTGTCTACGCTGGGTCCAAGTAACTGACCCAGGTGAGAATTCTGTGTCTGTCAGGCATCTCTGGAAAACTACCTGTGATACACAGCTGCATTCAGAATGAGTCATGGGGAGAGTAAAGGAACTTGAAATCTTGTCACAGAAAAATCTAATGAAACAGAGAGAAGAGATGCTTCGGGAGAAGGATGGGACTGGGCTGTGTCGAAGAGTAATCTTATGTGTTCTGGGTGGCCCCGGAGGCTAGATCTAGGACCAGGAAGAATGATTTTAGCTCAGGATGAGGATGAGCTTGGCCAACACACCTGATGGTGCATGCTGCTCTGCACAGTACTTGCTTAGTCACTGGGATTATTTTAAGTTGATTTGGCAGGGAGTCTATGGAGAGGACTCAAGTACAAAATCAGACAACCACCAAGCCAATGTCAACTATGGCCCTGAGAGACAATGATTTAGTTGGTGACACAGCTTAGAAAGGATTTCTGATTCATTATACCCTTTGTGCCATTAGACTGTAGGCTCTGGGAAGATGAGCAACACATCTCATATTTTTTGCCTTTTCCATAGCTGAGGGAGACCCAACTTTTCCCAAGTTTCCGATCCCCCTTATTCTCACTCCAGCTGAAATGAAGGCCAACTCTCAACTCAGGCAGTGGGGGTCCTATGGCTGGAGGAGCAGCAATCCTGTTCTTCAAACAATCCCAGACCAGTGACAGTAGAATTGGTGGAAGAATCTTGAATATTATGAACATGTGGATCACACAGTCTCACCTCCACTGGTTTCCTTCGAAGAATAAAAAAGTTCTCTGCTCGCATCATCATGAAGCGCATGAACTTGTGGCATAAAATCTTCTCAATTTCATCAGCCTAGTAAGAGTGAAAGATAAACAAGGCTCCCTAAATCTGACCTCACAGGCCAACAGAAACCTGTACCCTGGTCTTCTGACCTCAGTTTCCCCCAGACTCACTGTAGGTAGTGGGGTTTCGCATCAGGGGCACTGCCTAAATCGTGGGGCATCTGGTTGCCAACTGAGTGTCTACTACATTAGAGCCTCTTCAACTCAATAAGACATTATTATGATCTCATTTTCACCCATTCCAGAGATAATTCTAGCAAACGAACGTCTTTTATCTGCTCCTTCCAGAGTCCATACCTACATTCAAAGCTGTCTCTTCCCTTCCCATTTCACTAGTGCTGTATTTCTCAAAGTCTATGATATATATACCACCTGGAATTATCAGAGATAAACCTAGGTGCTCTCTGCTTTAGTAACAATGAACATTAAATAATCCCCAAACTTTAACCATGCTGAATTCTCATTATTTCTAATGAAAGAATTTTGCAGCCAGGTGCTGGTATATATGCCCTTAACACCTTCTAACACTTGTTAATCTCCCTTTTTAACAGAGCAGGGACCAAGAACAGAGCTTTCTGTAGGCAACAGGGCCTACACTAAATAACGGTTTTGTTTTCTTTCACTGCAGTCACTTCTTTAGAGTTCCCCCTATCTGACAAGTGATATTGTTTTCCACTATGGCATAAGGTTTCTGTTTCAAACAAATTTAAGTAAAAGAAAGTAAGACAAGTTAAGGAAATCCATTAAACAAATAACTACCTAGGTGGTACATAAATATGGCAAAAATTATAAGAGTGATGGGAATATGAATGTCACCTAAGAAAACATAAGAAATTATACTTTTTGGGGGCGCCTGGGTGGCTCAGTGGGTTAGGCCTCTGCCTTCGGCTCAGGTCATGATCTCAGGGTCCTGGGATCGAGCCCCGCATCGGGCCCTCTGCTCAGCAGGGAGCCTGCTTCCTCCTCTCTCTCTGCCTGCCTCTCTGCCTGCTTGTGATCTCTGTCCATCAAATAAATAAATAAAATCTTTAAAAAAAAAAAAATTACACTTTTTTTTACCCTAAATCTCTTTTTCAAGGTTTATGGTTGTCAAATTGGTATTGGTACTATTTATTTCTATGAACTGGCCTTATTCTCCCTTCCTTATAAATGATTCTTTGACCTGACACCAAAATGACCATGGCCTTGGCTGCTACTTTTCCCAACTTCTAACCTAGAGCAAGGCTTACAAAACAGGGTTGCTCTCTCTACTCTGCTGACCTGGCAAATCATTCCTTGGGTACACCTGGGATTCCCTGCACCTTGAATCTAGCACGACGATCTCTTGGATGGGGATCCCTGGCCTCCTGAGGAGGCAGGGGCTCAGTGGTGAGCTCACCTGTTTCACAGCAATGCTGACCCGGACAGAGTTGATGGAGCCCTCAATCAGAACCTTTTCCTTCTCATTCCTGCTGATGGTCACAGGTTGTAACAGGAGCTCTTTGCTACTCCTGAAAACACAATGTCACAGAGGCCTCTGTACTATAGAGGAACAGAATGCTCAGGGAGACCCCACAGCGGCCCTGGAATCTCTGAGACCAGAGTCCAAGGAATAGGAGACTCACAAGTAGGGCCTACTACTTGTGACTCCAAGATGGGGGCTCCAAGATGGGGGCCAGCAAGTGTGTTCTCCAACAGAAGGAGCAAGCTCTGGAGTCAGGGCGATAAGGTTTTGAAATCCAGCCTCCTCTGTTACTTTCCTTGGACAAGTTACCCTGTTGGAATCTCAATTTCCTCATCTGTAAAATGACTGATTCCTATTTCACTGGCAAGGATTGAGAGAGATCAAAAAGGGTCAATTGTCTAATAGAGTGCCTGGCACATGGCAGGAGCTTTACAAACAACAGCTCTTATTTTAATAACTACGGGCAAACCCATATACCATTTAGGGAATGAGAAGAGAGAGGCTGCCTTAAGAATAAGGACAAGCTAAAATCAAACAGTTTGGCCTCCTTTAATTATCAATCCAGAATGATTCACTTATTTAGCATTAAGACTCCTCTCAGGTCAGCTCCCATTTTGATGCCTCTGAATCTCTAGGTATTTGTAATGGTAATTAAGATGCCCAGCAGAAATCATGTATGTTAAGTACAGCAACATGAAACATGCTAACATTTTGTCAGTATTTTTAAATTCAAATCATTCCAACACGGTGTGGTAACACTGTTTATCTCAGTTACAGGTGTCTCAAATTAAACTTTAAAGGAGAACAGAAAAATTTAACAAAACATAAACTAGAGAGAGAAAATAACCCAAAGCATGGAAAATTTGGAGTAAGGAATAAGAGTACAAGTTGGTGGGGAAAAGAACATTCTTTGATCTTTAAATTACAAGAGGGCAGAGATGGCATCTAACAAAATTCTCCACTCTCTCCTTAAACTGGGTTCAACAATGACACAGGAGATACTTACTGAACAGCCCTACTCTGAGACGTCACACTTGTGTCAAGCAATCTTGGCTCTAGAGTTTAGCTTCTCCCCTGGGTTTTGTCCTGCCAACCCACTGACCCTATTTTTGGAACTGCAAATTGGGAACCATTGCTCATCGAGCAGTAAGACAAAGTATGTGAACTATAGTTGTCTTGACAACTCCAGGACGGAAATTCGTTGACAGCCTCCAGACAACTGCCATCTTTGGGGCTGAACCCATCACCCACCCTGATCTTTCTCTTCCTTACCTGACTTCTACTTCCGGCTTGTTGTGTCGTTCTACAACCTGGGAGGAGAAATTCTCCAGGCAGAGGGCAGCCTGCAGTGTGGCCCGCACGGCACTCAGGTAGGGACGGAGAGTGGCAGTCTGTAGGAAAAAACACAAGGGAAAATCAGAATCTGTCTTAGCAAACCCACTAGCCCTCTACTCCAGCTACATGGGAGCCAGGCGGTACTGAGAATATCTGGCTCTCACATACCACAGTGAACAAAACAGACTAGGCCTTCAAGATGCCTTTCATTCTAAGTCTAGAGCAGTAGTTCTCAACAGAAGACCATTCTTCCTGCCAGGAGACATTCAGCAATGGAGGGACATTTTTCATTGACAGGACTTGGAGTGGGGTGGGAGCGCTACTGGCACAGAGTAGAGTCCTGGCATACTGCTAAACATCCTACAACTCACAAAAATGAATTATTCAGGGGCATGTGGGTGGCTCAGTCAGGTTTCTTGATTTTGGATTGGGTCATGATCTCAAGAGTCATGAGATCTAGTCCCGCAAAGTGCTGCATGCTCAGCGCTGAGTCTGATTCTCTCCCTCTTCCTCTGCCCCTCCCTCTATTTGCGTGTGTTCTCTCTCTAAATAAATAGATAAAAAAGAAAAAAGAAAACCCCAAATAGTGCTGACGTTGAAAAATTCTGGTCTGAAGGCATACAGGTGACAAAGACTATTCTCAAATCTGTCTTTTGAGCCAACAATGGGTAACAATATGTGTTAGACGATGATCTAAATGCTAAGATTCTAAAGACAATCTCTACCTTTAAATAGCTCAACTGGTTACAGAAGACAAAAAACAACTATGATATTCTAAAGAAGAATGAAATGGGATAGAATTTGATTCACAAGTTATATTTCCAGAAGAAACTGGTTTGGAGGTAAAGATGAAAACAGATTTTGTAATTCAGAAAAAGTAAACTAAGGACATTCCCATTAGAGGGATCAGCTTCTACCTACACTGGCTTATCTTCAGTTGTATTAACTAAGTCTTTCTCACCTCAGGGCTTTAGACATGCTGATCCATCTATCTACAGGCTTTTCTCCCTCTCTTGACCCAAGTCATCCCTCAGATCCTGACTTATTCAGGGAAGGCCCCTTCCTTCCTCAGAGAGACCATTCTTGACCTCCCCCTTCATAGCATTTATTATAAGTTACAATGACACAACCTTCATATTTCTTTAGTAAAGTGATTGCTTCTTCGCTAGACTGTAAGCTTCATGGTCAATAGACCATGTCTCTTTATTCAAATCTATATACCCTGCTCCTCACTCGGTACTTAACATATGCAATGTCTTACTCCTTTTCTATACAACATTATGTATAATACCACAACCAAGATTAGAACAACACCAAAAAGGGGCGCCTGGGTGGCTCAGTGGGTTAAGCCTCTGCCTTCAGTTCAGGTCATGATCTCAAGGTTCTGGGATGAGACCAGCATCCAGCTCTCTGCTCAGGAGGGAGCCTGCTTCTCCCTCTCTCTCTCTCTGCCTACTTGTGATCGCTGTCAAATAAAGAAAATCGGAAAAAAAAAAAAAAAAAAAGAACAATGCAAAAAGGCATTTAAGAGTTCCAGAAGTAGTGATGAGTACAGGGTTGCTATATACGGAAAGCATTTTAGATTCAGTAGATGATGCTGCAATGGTAGTCTAAAGATTCACAGGTCATCTCAAATTCCAGACTGTTAACTTTAGCTTTTCTTTTAAGGTAGTAAGGAACTGCTGGGACTTTCTGAGGAGGAAGTTATATGACTTCACGAGTTGCATGGTGGCTCTGCAGAGAATAGACTGGAGAGGGAAGTGAGACAAAAGGCAAATAGGGTTATTCAAGGAACACTGATGAGAGCCTGGGGCAGTGGAGAGGACAAGCAGAGGGAGGGTATCACAACAGTCAGACTGTCATATAAGATGTAGAGAATATGGAATCAAAAAACACCTCCCAACAAACTGTGGTTCACCCATACGATAAAATCCTACTCAACAATAAAAAGGAGTAACTACTGATACATGCAACATAGATGAATCTCAAATGCATTATGGTTAAAAAGCCACATTGGGACGACTGGCTAGTTCAGTCTGAAGAGTCTGTGACTCTTGATCTCAGAGTTGTGCGTTTAAGCCCCAAGATGGATGTAGAAAATACAAAAACAAATGAGTAAATAAAGTTGTTGTTTTTTTTTAAGATTTTACTTATTCATTTGACAGATAAAGATCACAAGTAGGCAGAGAGAGAGGAAGGGAAACAGGCTCCCTGCTGAGCAGAGAGCCTGACATGGGGCTTGATCCCAGGACCCTGAGATCATGACCTGAGCCAAAGGCAGAGGCTTTAACCCACTAAGCCACCCAGGCGCCCCTAAAGTTAAGTTTTTAAAAAGCCACATCCAAAGGCCTACATCCTGAAGAATTCTGTTTGTATGACAACACTGAAAAGGCAAAACTATAGGAGAAAAAAAAATCTGGTTGCCTGGAATGGGGAGAAGACAGGAGTGATAACAGAGGGATTTGAGGGCACTTTTTGAGGAAACATTCTGTTATCTTGGTTGTAGTAATAATTACATTATTATGTTTGTCAAAATCCATAGATGATAAACCTAAAAACGGTGATTTTTTAGGTGACAAGCCCCATGACACCTGCCTTTTCACAAATAAAATGCATTCTCATGTAATACCTCAATAAAGTTGACTTTTAAAAAAATACAGGTGATATACCCTCAATTAGAAGAAAGAAAATCCAGACTTCTACCTGAGGTAAGAAGACACAAAGCCAGGACAAGTAACATAAAAAGAAAAGCAAGTATAGGAGAGAAAATGATTTTTGACCTGTAGATCTAATATGAAGGTGTCTTCAAGATTTCCAGGCAAACCTAAAAAAGAACTAGGAAGACAGATTCAAGAGCCACCAGAACACACAAGGTCATCAAAGCCAGGACTTGACAGGTGCCACTAGGAAAAATGCAAAGAGGAAGGTGGTGAGCCCAAGCTTCAACTCCCAGGAACACCCACATCTATCAAATGGGAGTACTACCAGGAAGGGAGGGATCCTTAGTAGCAGAGCTCACGGTTAACACGGCTGAATTCTGACCAGGAAGAGGTCTGGGTGGTGGCAGCATAAAAGAGATCCTTCTGTGGGGTAGAAGCAAGGCAGGGAGTAAAGAGAAGAGTGGGATAAGGAAGTGTAGACGCTTCCTCTGGGAAACCGGGGTCAAGCGGGGAGAAGAGGACAAGACAGTGTACTTAAGGAAGTTCTCACTCAAGTTCTCCTCTGAGTGAGAAGACCTTACTATGTGCCTCAGCGGCCCGACTACGGGCAATGAGGCCTACTAAGTGCCTTCACGGCGCTTCCACCAGCCTAGGAGGTCCCAATTCTGGCGTCCTCTACCCTCACAATTCCCCACCTGGACCGAAAGCCAAACCTTGAAGCTGCAAGGCCTGCTTCGTAAGAGGGCGTCCCCGCTCGCCCCTTCCTCACTTCGGCTCCAGCCCCGCCCTCTTTCCTCCAGTCCCTTAGTGTCCCAACACCCCGCAGTATCCCTCAGCCCCGGGCCTCTCCGCTGCTAAGCCGCATCTCCCCCAGACCCACAGCTTTGAGGCAAAACCGCGGGGGTCCCTGGCCGGGGCCCGGCTCTCTCACCATCGCGGGCGCTGGCTGGGCCGGAAAGCGGAAGTGCGGAAGTGGCCAGCTCCGCGACGCCTGCCTTTTCGCGAGAAGCGCAGCCTCAGTCTCCGCCCGAACTTCCGGACGGTACCATCTATGATCCGAACGGAGAAGGGGAGCCCAGGAACACTTGGTCCTTTGGAAGTTTCCCCGCTAGGACTTTCTTGACATTTTTAAGCTCCTTAAGTTTCAAATAGATACTCAAGCTTATCCCGTTATCCATGCAGTTCTCCCTTGTGACTTTGGCCTTCTTGTCTTTGTCATAGTCTTTCCCCATAATCAGGCAATGGTGCAGCCCGGCCTCAGGTTGGGCACCATATTAGGACAAGGCGAGGCGGAGGAGTCCTTCGTTCCTTCCGGTTCTGCGCCCCTACCCTTTCTCTGGGCCCCTCCTACTTGCAGCCCCTGGGGCTCAGCGGGACTAACCGCGGGGCTGAGAACTCAGCTGTCGAGCCCCGCCCCCAGCCTCGGGCTGTTCCCCAGAGTAAGCCTGAGGCATACCCCTCCCCCCCGCCCACCTGCAGTGGGCTCGCTCGCGGCCTGTACAACCTTCCCCGCAAGCCATATTGGGCTCTCCCTCGCGTCTCCCACCCCCGCGTCCTCTGCAGGGAGCCCGCCCCTAGCCAGTTCCGGGGCGGTTGCTCCCACCAACCGGAACTCCCCGCCCCCTCCCGTGGCCTGGGGGCCGTAGGAGGCAGCAGGAGGCTGCAGTGAGGAGGTAGAGGGGGTGGGGGCCGCGTTAGGGGGTCCCTAGAGGACGGGAACCCTGAAGGCAAGTCACTGGGGCGACCCACGGGAGGGGCCAGCCATTACACAGGCGCACTTCTGTGCCAGGCACTGAACTGGGCTCTTGACGAGCATCCTCTCTTAATCCTCAGAACATCCCAGGGAGGTAGGTACTATTGTGATCCCCATTTTACAGATTCAGACTTCTTATGGGGAAACAGACTCAAGATTTGTTTTGTCCCCATTTTGTAGATGGAAAAGCCGAGACTCAGGAAGGTTAAATAGTATGTTCAGAGCTACATAAATAGAGAATTGTAAATGCTGGGCTTGAACCCAGGTATGTCTAGCCTACCAGCCCACGTTTTTAACCACTGTCAGGGGCAAAGAGGTGGGACAAAGATGGGAGGGGGGTCAGACAAGGAGAAGCAGGGAAGCACGGAGAACATTAACATTTTAAGAATGGGATGTTTGGAGCTCGGGATTTGCAGAACTCGGGAGGAGTAGAATAGAAAAGCATCAGGAAGGTAGGACATAGCATATCACAGAAATTAGTGGCACAGACTCACAACTACCTGGATTCAGATTGCATCTTAGTAACCTTGGGCAGGTACCCACCTTTACAGAGTCTGAGTTTCCTAGTCTGTAAAGTGTAGATCACCATTGTCCCTTCTTACGGGGTTGGGTGAGGAATTCAGTGAGAAGCCAGTAAAATATCTGTACTTAGCTTGATGTACATACAGTAAGTGGTCTGTGAGTAGGGGCAGTGCCATCAACCTTGTCAACAAGGTACTGAAGCTGGGCTTTCTCCTTGATTCTGACCCTGGATGAAGGGAGCTCTTGGAGTTTTGTTGTGCCAGTTTATCACCTATCAATGGCTCTCTCCTCTCCAGTTCCACAGGGTCCTGTATCCTGGGCCATGAGTGAACTGAAGGACTGCCCCTTGCAGTTCCATGACTTCAAGTCAGTGGACCACCTGAAGGTCTGTCCACGCTACACGGCCGTGCTAGCCCGCTCTGAGGATGATGGCATCGGCATCGAGGAGCTGGACACTCTGCAGCTGGAGCTTGAGACTCTGCTTTCCTCTGCCAGCCGGCGTCTGCGGGTTCTCGAGGCTGAAACCCAGGTGATACCCTACAGAAAGGATATCACCAGGGGTGGACTCTGATGAGTTATGGGATGGGTCATTGAGTTAGCCCCACCTGCTGAGGCTTGGGGTACAGGAGCTTAGTGGGGTAAGGAGAGTCCCAAGCTGGGCTCATGTAACACATAGAATATATAAGAATGTGCATGATCCTCATAAATGGCAAGATTTCCAATTTACTGAGCATTTATTGACCCCAACCCCCATTATGTTCTGGGTCCTGTGCTAGGCGTTAGAGAGAGGTAATTAGGATACTTCTGGCCTTCAGGGTGTTTGCCAACTAAAGGGAGGGGGAGGTCAGACAAATACCAGGTGATGTTGTATTATGGTTGAAGTATAAGGGAACTGAGTTGAGAATTTGATTTGAATCCTGGATTTGAATCCTGGATTTGAATCCTGGCCTAAGTACTTGCTTAGTGTTGCTGTTTCCTACTATGTGACTTTGGGAAAGTTGCCTCCTGTCACTGAGCGTCAGTTCCCTATACGCAAACTGGGATGAGTAATAGGAGCTACCTTTGAGCTTTTGTGAGATAAAAGAGAGGTTTTTTGTTTTGTTTTGTTTTTTTACAAAGCCTCAGCCCAATATCTAACAGTATTTCAGATATTAATTACTGGTACTACTTTTATTTCTGTTCACTATGTAAACATCCCCTGAGCAGTGTGTGTCAGATGCTATGCCAAATCCTGGGGAACAGATAGTTAAGATGAATTTCTTGATCTCCAATAGCTTATAGTCTAGTTGAAAAGAGAGGTATACTATTTATTCAGGGATGATCGAACAACACATTTAGGCCTGCGATGGAGGTACAAAGTGTAAGAGACCCAGAAAGGACCAAGATACCATTTTAAGAGGATGAATAGTTAACCTGTGGTCCCTGTGCACTGAAGCTTTTTGAGCAGCACTGTGGCATATTCAGTTTTATTTTAGCATTAAGAAGCTGGGTAACTGATGTGAAAAAGGCTTCCCAGTTGTGACATTTGAAGTGAAGGTTTGCTGGGAGGCTTGTTTGCATTCACCAAAAAGTTACCAGCAGCATATTCCAGTGTTAATATGCACTGGGCATGAGCATTTGTTTGACCTAAATACTCTGTGACTGGGTTGAGTGATACAGAGGTGAATCAGTACAAACAAATGGAATGATGAGAAGTATATGAATAAAATTCTATGAGGTAGGAACAGAAAAGGAACTGAGTTTTGAAGGATGAGTAAGAGTTTACTAAATAAACAGGGAATGGATAAATAGACTTTGGAGCCTTCTCAAGTCTAGATCCTAATTCTTCACTAGGAGAAAAACTTGTCCTATGACTTCCCTTCTCCCCCTCAGTGATAGTCTCTATAAATTTCAGATCCTCACTGACTGGCAGGATAAGAAAGGTGATCGACGATTCCTGAAGCTGGGTCGAGACCATGAGCTTGGAGCTCCCCCAAAACATGGAAAGCCGAAGAAACAGAAACTGGAAGGGAAGGCGGGACATGGGCCAGGCCCTGGGCCTGGCCGGCCCAAATCCAAAAACCTTCAGCCCAAGATCCAGGAATATGAATTCACTGATGACCCAATTGACGTGCCACGGATCCCCAAGAATGATGCCCCCAACAGGTTCTGGGCCAGAGAGTATAGAGGGGCCTTGGGATTCAGGCAGTAGAGGCTGGAGGGGCCTGGAGCTGAGGATGGTGGGATAGGAGGTGCCCATTCAGGATCTGCTTCTCTCCGCAGGTTCTGGGCTTCCGTAGAGCCCTACTGTGCTGATATCACCAGTGAGGAAGTACGCACACTAGAGGAACTACTGAAACCCCCAGAAGACGAGGCTGAACATTATAAGGTGGAAACTCTGGGCCTCGGTAGACAGGGTGGTGAGCAAGAGGGCTCAGAGGTGCCTCTGAAACAAAGATCCCAAAGTCATGTATCATCTTCCTTCCCCTACTCTGCCCCTACTCTACCCATCCAGATACACAGGCTTTAATTCTCAGCTCTCTTCTTGCATTGTCTCCTCTCTATCTCATCCAAATGATCACATACATCCTAAGGTGTCTACTTCAATGACACTGTCCTTTGTCCCAACATCTCCATCACCTCTGCTTTGATTCTGGCCTTCATTAGATTTCACCCAAATGGTCTGTTAATACTTCCTTGCTTCCAGATGGACTTTTTGTTTTCCTTTTTTTTTTTTTTAAGATTTTATTTATTTATTTGATACACAGAGAAAGATCACAAGTAGGCAGAGAGGCAGGCAGAGAGAGAGGAGGAAGCAGGCTCCCTCCTGAGCAGAGAGCCCAATGCAGAACTCGATCCCAGGACCCTGAAATCATGACCTGAGCCGAAGGCAGAGGCCCTAACCCACTGAGCCACCCAGGCGCCCTGTTTTCCTTTTTTTTTTTAATATATAAAACTTTACTTATGTTGTAAATAAAACCGATTCCATTAAAGAAGTTGTAGAAAATACAGAATAGTGTCAGGGAGCACCCTCCTCTAGGTCTGCTGTTGTGATTGGAAGTGACAAAGCCCTGTTCCTAGGCCTCCCCTGACTCCTGCACAAGATGGAGTCCAAGCATCATGGTCCTTGGTGACACAGCCCTACTGCCCCTCTCCAGTTTCCTCAGCCATGCCCCCTCGTCATTTACCAGCCCTGCCAAGCAGCTTGCCCTCACTCCAGGCCCACCCAGACTCTTTGCTGGTCTCTGGGCCTCTGCACATGCTCTTTTTCCCTTAGCAAACTAACTTGTCCTTCAAAGCACTGATGCCTTGTTATCTCCACCAGAATGCCTTTGTGCACTCCCCACAGTAAGTTTCTTTTTCATATACCACAGCACCTAGACCTACCTCTAACACTTCAGTTCTTTGAATTTTTTAAAAAATTTATTGGGAAAAAATTATTTGAAGAGTTAATCCATATAGGCAGTAGTAAATTCAGGTAATACAAATGAGAATTTCCTCTCCTGACACTAAGGCTCCTAGATCTCTCTAGGGACCACACCTATGACCTGAGATGGTCCAGGTACATACATCTTTCTGCACCTCTATCTTGGAAATTGTTTCATACTGGCTCCCATGTGTGTCTTAGTTGGTTATGTACCTGTCTCCCTTACTAGACTGTGAGCATAGAGATTTTTATCTCCTTTATTTCTTCCTACCTATGCACGGCATGGACCTTAGCCCTGGGGTAGGTACTTGGGAGACACATAAGTGAAGGAATGAATGATGAGCCTATTGGCAGTGTCCTAGTGCACAGAGAGCCCCCACTCACCCCAGGCATGGCTTGCCAGTGTTTACCCCCTTTGGGCCGCACAGATCCCACCTTTGGGGAAGCACTACTCCCAGAGATGGGCACAGGAGGACCTGCTGGAGGAACAGAAGGATGGGGCCC